AGTAATTTAGCAGCGAAAAGTGTGTTCGGCGTCACGACAGTCGTCGCTTGTTTGTAAACATAACGGTCATTCGGTTGAGAGTTCAACTCCAAGCATGGTTGTGGCCACCTATTCACAGTGGGGAGTTATGACTGGTGGCAGCGATAGTACAGAGAGATCCGCGAACGGGCTATCGCTGTGAGGAGCTTGGGCTTGCACGCAGACGGGACGCAACTCTGGGACGACTGGGCCACCCGGGCCCTAGGTCCATGAATAAAACCTTATTACATTACATTTTTCTTTTAAAAGGAAAGCGTATATGGGTAGGATTGGCCAACACAATGTTCCGTTTGGTTTCCTGTGGGAAGAACGTTTCCAGGATAACACTACGCCACAGAAACTCGATGATAGCGTGTATAGCATTATATTTCGTATAGAAAAAATCACTCCCCCCCCCCCCCCCCCACCCTATATACGTATATGTATATAGGGGAGTGATTTCTTTTTCTATACGAATACATTATGCTATACACGCTATCATTGAGTTCCTGTGGACTACGCATCAAACAAACGTGCCGACGCTGTGGAAGAATATTAATGGGATGCAATAATTCACTACACAGCCTATCCGTGGTATGCATTTATATATAAATTAATTGTTAGGATTCTTCTCATACGGTTAGCAGAACATTCATGACTTACGCTCGTGACTTGTTTTATGAATGCACAACTAATGCTTGGCACACATGTGAGCCCAGTTGAAAAGGGGGCTGTGGGGTAGCCTAGTGGTTAAAGCGTTCGCTCTTCACGCCGAAGACCCGGGTTCGAATCCCGCCATGAGTACAATGTATGAAGCCCATTTGTGGTGTCCCACGCCGTATAATTGCTGGAATTTTGCTTAAAGCGGCGTATAACCCTACTCACTCACTCACTCTAAAATTAAGTTGCTTTTGAAGAAGTCTGGATTTGGGTGTTTTTGAGAAAGTCAGGGCCGATTTACCTCAATTATATATTTCTGAATTTGTAACACATTCGAAATCGACCTACAGGCAGAACCAGAATTAAGCTAATATTAGTAGCCCTAAGATGCATCATAATGTTGTTGTTTTTAAAACAAATTTCGCTGTTGATTATTATTTATCAGTTGTAAATTTAGATACATTTAACTACGTTTATAACGAATACGTTTATAACGAAATGACCGATATAACGAACATATTTCTAGTCCCGGGCATTTGTTGTATATATGCTGTATATATGCTTATAACGAACTACGGTTATTACGAACTAAACTTAGTGGTCCCTTTGAGTTCGTTATAACCGTAGTTTACTGTACATTAAGATCGGCAATTGCGCTATTCCGCGGTAGTTCACATTCTTTACGTATGGAAACAGATCGATACGCAAATACTCCCAAAGACTAGAGGTTTTGTAAAATATGTGGAGGAAAAATCAAATAATACCTTGTTACACTGTATATTGTAACGCATATGGTAAACGTTATGGATAATAGCTTCTGGTTTATTGCTAAAAGCAACGTTTCGGTGAAGACTTACACCGTTATCAAGCTCGAGTGACAACAACCAAGGGATGGGAGGTATATATGCATGACATGTTGTGATAAGCAGCAGGTTAACATTGACAACAGGTAACAGAAACAAGTAGCATGCAGATAAAGGGATGAAGCCAAATGTACAGTAAGAATAACAAATAGCACACCTGCATATGAAACTTTTCACGTTTACTATCCCATAAACGCAAATACATGCATAGTGACTTCAATTATCATAAATATACGTCAACTATAATAACTTCACAGATTGCTTACATTACAAATTCTGTCAGCGCAATGATGAGCCCCGCCCATTCTGTTTTCAGCCAATCAGGATAGTTTGTTGCGAAAAGAAATTGTTTGGTTAGCAAATCAAATGCCAGGGAATCACTTGCAGTTGATTTATTTATCATTAATAAACACCTTTTATTTGAGTTACGAGTCAGGAAACTGGACCCCTTTGCCCCGTCATGTTTACCGGTTCATATCTTTCAACAAAATACAGTCAAGACGCAATTTCTGTTTTACTTCAAGGTAAATGGCTTGGGGCCAATAGGGGTATAAAAAAATGTATCAACGATGTTCTGTTATTTACCTTGTGACTTGTGAAGGCTGATGCAAAATCAGCTTAGGACTTTAGTAGATCGTTCTGAATGCGTGAATCGTAGCTATGTATTACTATTAAAACTTAGTGACCGTGGATGTCGGATAACTTCGGACCTATACAAATCACGGTGGACCATAAGGGACATGGAGTCTGCTTTTCAATATTTTGATATTTCCCTTACTTTCATCGTAACCTTTTGCAAATTAACACAATTTGTCATACAGATATGTGATAAAGCATGTGTAAAAACAACCGAAAACATGGAAAATGTACTTTCAAGTAGCTATTGAATCGCTGAAATGTCAAAAACTAAAATGAAAATGTCAAAAACGAAAAAGGAAAAGGTCAAAAACAAAAGCGAAAATGTCAAAAATGTGTAAAATGAAAATACAGAAAACTATTTCCACCGCGGTAGAAATATTATCACCGCGGTGGAAATAGTGAAATATTGAAAAACAGACTCCATGTCCCTTATGGGCCACCGTCACAAATAAGCCAATTTCATGGCCCGGTCGACTGTATTTTCATACTGTAGAATGAAATTTAACCTGCTTGTTTATCGTTTATCAACATGTACTGAAACGCGATACCTCAAACTCTAAATTGCCGATTGCGAAATAACAGAAGAATTTAGAGTTATGTCCCTTTGAAATAAGTACACGTGCACTGTGTTGTCTGGAAACTGTGAAGAAACATAGCAGATCGCCAAGTTCGTATTCTTATTTCTCGCATTTATTTGAAACAACCCTTGAACACCTGTGTGCTACTCTTGTAACTATCTTTAACCATCACGATGTGTCACTGGTAGATTTTACAGACGCTTCAGTTCATACCACCATTTATTACCCACGTGGTGAAGATACAGGTGATAAGACTCACGAGTGTCATACAAGGTTGACCTCGTTTTATTCGTTTTGATAAGATAACCATGATCTCTGTCACACCGTGACTACTTTTTTCATTCATAAAAAAATCGCGAGACGTCATTCACTTTTAAAACTACAAGGCAGAGCTGAAGGAATCTCACGAAAGCGAGAGACGTTTACACTCACTTTCTTAAACCAAACAATTCAATAATAAACAATATATAAAATACCACACTTTTGCTCGGTCAGATAACATAGAAAGTCCACTCGTTTCGTAGAAATGGTATCTGACGAGAATGAGTGTAGTATTCTCTATGTGCGAAGGTTTGTTTGTCAATCGTCACGTGACTTGGTCGATTATTAACTCTTTCCTTCTACCGTTTGACAACGGAAAACACAGATGTTGAAGGATGATAGACCGCGGATAGTTTTTTGCTCATTCTTTGGACACTCACTGTTTGTTTGACCCAGACTCGTTTAACCCGCACGGGTCACGCTGACATGACACGGGGGGTGTTATCTTGACCTCCTGAACAATCTCTCAAGTGTTGACACCATGAAAATATGTCCTTGAATCAGGAAAGGGTTGATTATGCCTTATTTATCCCTGGTTGCATATAAAGTACGAGTTTGTTACATATTTAAAGAGTCAGTAACTAAAGAAAACATTTAGGTAATTTATTATTTAAGTAACTATCGATCATGAAGACTTGAAATCGATCAACCTGGAGTTGAGTTGGAGGCAGGTTTGAGGTCAGCGCTACAAAACTATTATTTTACGAAAAAACCAGTTATGTTTCAGAGCATCCAGGATGACCAATGAACGTATTTGTTCACGAAGTATTGTAATGTATACATAGAAATGTCAATCTCACCAAGATGGGACACTCCGCCTCGATGCAAAGGGGGCGTGTATGTATGTAATATTGTCTAAGCTATAGCGTGGACTGATGCCGCTTTCATAGTGCCGGCCAAGTGACATATACATATATTATTACTGATATATAATGCCACGATTTAAAATGGATACCCCACTCAGATACAGTACACTGACACCGAGCTGGACGAAAGCTGAGTCTATTTTAATATATAATTTTAATGGAAACAAATAAATCCATTTACGTTGAAATGGAGACCCAGTGAGATGGGAGACTGAACCTGAGAAACCTAGACTTGCTTGATTTAGGGCTTTTTGCATTACGGAAAGGGCTGCTGCTGTGATATTGCTGGAATATTGCAAAAAAACCGGGGTAAAACCATACTCACCCACTCACTCACTATAGTGTGTTATGTATAGTGGTCGTAAGACGTATATGTGCCTTGTAATTAAGGGACGACATTTAATAGACGGAATATGTCGTAGGTCACTGCATCAGGGAATGATTTGTTTTCTTAGTGCATGGACACCGAGTGATTGAGTTCCAGGCCGCTGTCAACAAACAAACAAAATCACATTTACCACTGACACTGAAATGAACGCCGTTGCTGAAGTAGCACCCTTTTCCACGACAAAGAATGCCGTTTAACCCGTAAACAGACATAATGGAAAATTCCTCTATTAAACAGAAGCAGATGACACGAAACACGTACCACGAAATACGGGTGTGGTGTGGTATGCGTTACGTCATAGTCCTTTACATTGCAGAATACGTGGATAAACAATATTTCAATAGCCTCAGCAACAAGACCGCGTGCCAATAAACAATATTTCAATTATCACTGGCAATATTCATGCAAGCGAGCAGTTTACGTGATTTAACACGCGTACGGAAGCCTGAGTAAGGATTTCCGCACCCAATTGAGGGGGGAGGTATATTTTTAAAGAGGGATGTAAACATCTACAGTTTCGCTTATATCCGTTCTAAAATCGACAACATCGCATGTAGGCGAAACCGCACGTAGGATTCCCCATAATTACAAGGACGTTGTGACCTTGTGACGTCAGTGGGTGAACACAGCCAATCAGAGGACAGGGAATTCCACACGCAACCTCGTTTCAATATTGCAGCACAGCCTGTGTGGTATATATCATATTGCCTATGTAGTCCGGCATATTACCTCTAAGGCAGTGTTTGGAACAAACAAGCAGCACAAAGACGATCAAAATGACGGAAAAGCCGAAGATATATGTAACAAGGAGGGTTCCTTCCCCTGGGATTGAGCTTCTGGAGACTGAATGCAAGTTGACATTTTGGGACAGCGACGATGCTATTCCTAGGGAGGAATTACTGAAGAATATAAGCGGAGGATACGACGCTTTGTTCTGTATGCTTACAGATATCATAGACAAGGAAGTTCTCGAGGCTGCAGGTGAGCTAATATTTTCTACCCTTTGAATATAATTTAAATTAATTAATTTGTTACGATATATGATTTAAATATATTATCTCATTAAAGTTTAGTTTTAAGAATGTCCGTGTTATAATCTTTTTATTATGGATATGTCAAAATGTTCATTTCATACAAAGACAGTATTTTTGATACTTAATACCTTATCATCTTTACATATAAAAGCACTTCGAAAATGACTTTTTATGTTGTATTGCTGTTTGCTTTGCAATATGCTGAATATGCATTCCAAGGCAATCTTGAATATGACAATTGGTGTCTTTGCATGGACGATATTGTGTTTATGCAATACATATATGCATACTTTTGCGTGACCTAAAGGTCAATTCAATGTTGCATGACGAAGGTTTTTTTCCATTCAATGGTTTTTGTCAGTGTGACGTGAAGCCGACTCGAGTCGTTGAGCAACAATGAGAACGCTTTCTGGAGGACCGTGTATATATCAATGCCAGATGTCATTTTGTACATATCCTGTATTATTTAATATCGTTGACTGGCGTAGAGAGACACCACAGCATGTCTCTTAAAAACCTCTCGAGTGATTAAACTTCCATGTGCGTTTTGAAGAACATTTTACGTGTAGGTTTTCCAACATTGGTGCACATGTACTTACCTAACCCACTTTACCCATACCTCAATAATGTGGACACTGCTTATGTAGATATAAAACATATGCATCCTGTGTGATCCATGTTTCCTTTCTCGAGAAACTCAAGGACGATTTGAAACTGCATAGTCCGGTATAACGGGGTTGCATTGTTCTGAAACCTAAAAATACCCACTACTCGTTTCAACCGTAACGTTTCAGCCCTGAGTACTCTGGCCACCTCTTATTCTAAATGGGTGACAGTAAAATCCTTTGTTAAGCTATTTGTTAACAGGTCATTCGTTTATTTGGAGTAGGTGGTAAACGGTTGATAAGACCGCGTTCATAAATCAGGATATGAATTCTCAGGACGATCTCTAAGCGAGGTCAAGGCAGATAATTCACCAAACAGAAAATTCACCTTGAAGCTACGCAAGGTTACATTCAGGCATTGCAAGGACGGTCTTAATTATCCTTGGTTGGGGCCTATAGGAAAATCGATAAAGCCCGCAGCGCGCACGATTCATCGTGAGTCTTTTCACGCGGTTCAAGCATGTTTCGCTTCGCGTGTTCCTTCCTCAGTGAGAGACAGGATAAGACAGACACGATATAAGTGATCTTAAATACTGTCTCCGTGTTGTAACTTTCATCTGTAACTCCAGACCTACCTAAACATTATTCATAACGAGTAAATTCAGACGCGGACTAAAAAAGTAGCGAGGTCATTGCTGCTACTCGCCGGCAAGTCAAATCTCAATCGATCATGCAGGGTTAGTTTGAACGTGACAACATATAACGATCTGTATGTAGACACCCCCTCAGTGTGAACCTGTGTATTATTATTAAACATATTTCATTGTCCAAAAAGACAAAGGGATTGGGCACAAGTTCAGCACTTATTACCGCCTTCTCCCTATATTATACAGTTATACATAATATTGCATAATGAAAATTAACAATTTACAGTTGAAGCTTCACATTGTGGAAACATAGTGCGCAATATATATACAGTGTTCATATGAAGGATATGTACAATGTGCTGGAAAGTGAAGACAGTGTGCATCTCATACATATCCTAATATTATTCATTTTAGTGTTGTATATAGATTTAACAATGTTAATGATTAACAGTTTGGAAACAATAATATACTAGCTACTGAATCTGTTACTTGTTTCTATAAATTTGTGTACAGACAAGAATATTTTTGTATTCAGGAAAACATCTAAGTTTGGATCACCAAAAAGAATACTATGAAGAGTTTTTTGTCCTCCAAGATTATCGATAGCTGTCAGTAATGTCTCCCTAAAATCATCATAAAAGGTACATTCGAAGAAGAAATGGAATGAATTTTCATAAGGAGCTCTGCATTTACAGGAAATAGTATCAGATAAATTAACACGAAACAGGTCGGAATTTAGTGTGCTACAATTGTGTCTCAATCTAGTGTGCAATATGTTTGTAGATCTCTTACCGCAATTATAGTGTATAGGTGGTGATGTAGGCTGCTCAGATGCGACAGCTTTAGAATAAGATATTGACGGACTATCCCTGATTCCTGATGATAGATTATTCCATTGGACTAATGTATCTATAATACAAGTCCTTTTAAACATAGTTGTCCGTGCAAATGGAACTACAAAATCATGGCGGTTTCTGAGATTATAATTGACCTTCTGTGACACAGCTGGTGGTATAAGATCAGTTACATATGAAGGACATTCTTATTTATTATTTTATACATAGTTACACGTTTGATGGCGTTTCTTCTATACTCTAATGGCTGCCATCCAGTTTCGTGATAAAGGCTGCGACGGGAGGAAAATTGAGTTAATCCTGTTACTATTCTAGCTGCCTCAAGTTGTAGTAGTTCTAATTTATTAGCATTATACGACGAGCAACTGTCCCAGACAACTGAGGCATATTCTAAAGTCGGTCTGATAAAAACTAGATATATTCTAGCCAAGTTTGATCTACTTAACCGATATTTATGTTTTCTCATCGATGAAACCATTTTTGATGCACATGAAAGAATGTTATTGATATGATCGTTCCATTTTGTGTCTTGTGATAATGTAACACCAAGGTGCGTGTGACAGTCTACCCTTTCTATACATGTGTTATTAAAGACTATTGATGGTATTTCATCTGGGATTTTATGCGCGAATAATATATACTTGGTTTTGTTGGGATGGAATTGTACTAACCACTTTTGTGCCCAGTAATGTAGTTTGCATAGATCTTTATTTATGGAGTTTTCAATATGCTTAATATCTGGAGAGGAGATACCAATACTAGTACCATCTGCGAACAAACGTGTCAAATTTCTAATTTCATTACATATATCATTAATATAAATAAACAATAATAGTGGGCCAAGAACTGACCCCTGAGGGACGCCAGCGTGTGTATTTGATCCATTTACATACAAATAATACCCTCACCGCAGTGCTTGTCAAATTTTTGGATGACTCTCCCCATGTCCTTGTCCACGTTTATCATGACCCTCCCGGAAAAGACAAAATTCAAAATAACTATATATTTTATAATAAAATGTCTAATTAAACATTAGGCTTCCTAATTATTTGTTTGACGACTCTCCCCTAAAGACCTTCAGATTGTTTGGTGACCCTCCCGTTACCACCCCCCACCCCCCCACCCCACAAAATACCAAATTCTAAGCATCACGCTATATATCTTTTGTTTGTTTGCTGTTTAACGCCGTACTCATCAGTATTCCAGCTATATGACGGCGGTCTATAAATAATCTAGTCTGGACCAGACAATCCAGTGATTAATGTCATGAGCATCGATCCACGCAATTGGGATCGATGACATGCATCAACCAAGTCAGTGAGCCTGACCACCCGTTAGTCGCCTCTTACAACAAGCATAGTCGCCTTTTACGGCAGTCATGGGTTGCTGAAGACCTATTCTACCCCCCATATATCTGACACACTGTGTTTGACATATCGCCATACAACCATAGATCTACATACGAATGACCCCATCATTATTCTCGCCAGATAACTAAAACAACGTGTTTGGCATGTGTCTTTAATGAACATCCTGTGTGTACAAAGTTTGGAGATATTACCGTGTTTCCTGTAATAACAAATGCGTGAGATAAGATTGGTTGTATTCATTATACTAGTATATGTTCTCCTTATTGGGCGATTCACCTTATGCACCCCATGCTTGGTGCACCCGCTTCATATTTCTAGGGGTTTGATTGGCAGGAAGTAACACTGAATGTCAAGGTCACTGATAATGAAATAAACCTGACAATGTTTGTCGTCGCCATTTCCTGAATGCATGTAAGACAAATTGGACCGAACGTGACACACGTGATCTCGAGCGTTGCGTCTAAGTCAATTAATTATGAATGATCTTGTTAGCTTTCGTCTGATGTCTAGGTCATCAGAGATCAAATGAAATCGGGCGCAAACCTCAGGAATATTCGATTGTATTCCTTTGAAATAAGTTTTCAATCAGTGATAATAAATCGTTAACACCTTCATCAATACCGATCAAGTACCAAGGTTTTGTCACATGTCAAGGTAATTAATTTTTATTGTAATAGGTTGATTGGCCGTATTGTTTGAGGCCTCGTACATGCAACAGGCAAGATGCTTCCTACTTTACACATTCCCGCATATAATTCGTTTGACATGAAGGTCAAGGTCGGGTCACTCAGCGTTTCCTTTAAACGTAGATACGTAAATAGGCTGCTATCGTCCAATTAGAATCGAGTATTCTTCAAAGTGAGGACTCCGATAACTTCTTCATCTTCTTTTTGGACAACTTTTTTTATCCCTCTTTTTAACATTCTTTTACTGATCGACATTTATTGGAAAGCGAGTCACTTAACATTTTCTCGTTGTACATACAGGCTCTACCCTGAAGGTCGTAGCAACGATGTCTGTAGGTTACGAGCACATCGACCTGGACGAGTGTCGCCGCCGTGACATCGTCGTTGCCAACACCCCCAACGTCTCCACAGACAGCGTTGCCGAGCTGACTGTGTCCCTGCTTCTCTTGACGTCCCGTAGATTGTTAGAAGGTGAGCACTGCCAGAATATTACCACAGACCTGTACAATCACTAACGCATGCAAAAGCTTTGGGAGACAAGGTATGATGCTACAAAGGAATGCTGTGCTAGGCTGTACGACTGCATCTATTTCTGACTCAGGAACTAACCTGTTTTAAGCCTGTCAATGTTATCTGTGCGGGTTATGCAGAGATAACCCTTTCTTTTTAGAGAGAGTAGCGTGTAAGATATATTCTGGGGCTTTCTTTCAAGACAATTATTATTTTTGCCATATGTTCTTTACCTTTTTTAGTCCTATATTAATCAGACTAGCTTTTCCATAATACTGTGCAAATAGGGTTAAACCCTATGAAGGAAGTCCATGTATATTTTTTAAAAGTGGATAAAAGAAATTCTTCCGTTAAGGCAGAATTCGTTTTTATGAAATCCAGGACTCCCATATTTTGGTTCTCATGGGTTTTGTTAGTTTATCCCCAGTGGGTATTCCTGGTTTAATGGAATATGTTCCCAGCAACCTATGCTTGTCATCCAAGGTCACCTCGTGGATAAGGGATCACGTTCATGACGTGGAGGATAGCTTTTCAACGTAGCCCGACGTCGTGGATCGTTGTTCATAAGATCAACCACTGGTGTATTTGATCAAGTCATGATGACTTACAGACCGCCTTCATATACGTATAGATGGAATATTGCCGAGTGCGGTTTGTTTGTTTGTATATTTATTGTTTAACGCCGCAATCAGCATTACGGGTCTGTAAATGATCTGACAAGACAATCCAGTGATTGACATCATGAGCATTGACCTACGCAATTTCGATACGATGACATGCATCAACCAAGTCAGCGAGCCTGACCACCCGATCCCGTTAGTCGCTGCTTACAAGCATAGTCGCCTTTTACAGCAAGCATAGGTTGCTGAAGACCTATTCTAAACGGGATCTTCACTGGTGTTGGTTGGTTGGTTGGTTGTTTAACGCCGCACTCAGCAATATTCCAGCTATATGACGGCGGTCTGTAAATAATCGAGTCTGGACCAGACAATCCAGTGATTAATATCATGGGCATCGATCCACGCAATTGGGATCGATGACATGCATCAACCAAGTCAGCGAGCCTGACCACCCGATCCCGTTAGTCGCCTCTTACGACAAGCAAAGTCGCCCTCTGGTGACCGAGTGCGGTATAAGTGTTAAACAACAAACAAACATTGGTCGGTTATAGTGGACTGGTCATTGTTTCAGGTATCCAGGCGGTCAAGTCGGGGGAATGGGGGCCCTGGAAACCCATGTGGCTATGTGGCACCGAGATGTCCAATAAGACAATCGGGATCTATGGCCTTGGAAGAATAGGATACGGAGTCGCCCGACGTCTGAAACCATTCGGAGGCAAGAAAATCATCTACAATGACGTCGTAAAGGTGAGCTATGCCGACGACATCGGCGCTGAATACGTGTCCTTTGAAACCCTTTTGGAGGAAGCGGACTGTATCTGCATCTGCTGTAATCTGACGCCTCAGACCAAACACAAGTTCAACGCCGCCGCGTTCAAGAAGATGAAGCAGACGGCCATATTGGTCAATTCCGGAAGAGGTGGAGTTATCCAGCACGACGACTTATATGACGCACTCGTCAACAAAGACATCACTGCTGCCGGCCTTGACGTCACAGAACCGGAACCTCTACCATCCAATCATAAGTTGGTATCCCTTAACAACTGCATAATTCTGCCGCACATGGGAAGTAATACATGGGAGTCGAGGAATAGCATGTCTCTGACGACCGCTAAAAATATTTTATCGGTGTTTCACAAAGAGAAGGTTTTTGGGGAGGTTTCGAGTAAGTAATCAAACTTGTTGCCTGTCCCTTTTCAATCTGGCGTTGCGCAACAGTCAAGGCGTGCCAGTTTACTAAACAAATGATTTTTGTCTAACGCTCAAAATGGAGAAATGAATCTTTAAATCGTTAGTTTGATTTTCAATCTATTAACTCTCCTTGTATACTCTTATCGTGCAATGTTTATCTTCAGTGAAGCTGTTTGTTTTGCCAGTCTCGATCAAATCGAATCCTTTCTCCGTCGGTATAAAGTGAAGCCGAATCGTTTCAGAAAGCTGACATTTGATTGGCTACAAAAGTCCAATTTTTCATTTTGATTGGACGTTCACTCATGGGTCACCTGAAGGAGAGTTTGTCAGTTTTTGACAGAGATGCCGGTACCCAATCGGAGCAAAGAACTGATTTTAATGAGATTGTTTGTTTTCGATGCTTTTGTTTGCATTTAGTGTGTGTATAAGTAAAGTATCGTTACTTGCCATGAACAGAAATATTTATCAGCATCTTGTCTGTACGCAATGTTTCAATATTCGCTCAAATGTTCAATGGATTGCCAGTAACAAACACCATGTTACGATCCGGTGACTCGAAGTTCTGTATACCCTGGTGCTGTCTTATGTATTCTATTATTCACAAGAGCCAAGAGCAACACGTTAAACGTGCGCTTTCACTCAAATTACTGTATGACCCCATTGACCTTGGAATTACTATTGCCGGATATACCAGTAAGATCAGTTCCCTAGTCAAGTTGTCAAACAGGAACGAAATGTTGAATTACTATTAGAATGATTTCAAAATCAAGGTTGAGGGGATGATATTTGCAATTTGCGACTTGTTACCTGCACAATTAACGCTATTATCATTGATCAGAAAAACCGCCAATGTTCAAGGCCGATGAGGTCAAGAAATTTGATTTGATGTGTCACGGAAAAACCCGAGTGGTCACGAATGATACGTAAACGTCTGTTTACGTCCAAATGAGTGTAATTCCGCACATAATGTCAGTATTTGAAAGGGAATATTTATATGACCACTAGTTCGAATCTGAAGATTTTTAATGAGAAATCAGGAAGTGGTGTAGTGAGAATCTATAGTACGTTACTATGTGTGCAGATGTTTTCAGTTCCCGACACCTATTAACATTCCCAATATGTTATTCCGTGCAGTCTCCAAGTCGTTGTCTGTTTTCAGTATCTTACCCGCTGCCAAAGATGTTTGTTATCGTTCAGGAATATTTAGCCGGTAATAATTTGTTTCAACCGGTCCTCAAATATCTATTTTTACGATTATCTTATAAGCCAGTTATTGTCTGTGATAAACCACCGAGTTACCCGACACTAAGTCAGAGAAATTGAAGGAAGCCCGGTTGAAAACAACCTTTATTATTAAAGAAGGGGGCATTCAACTTCCATGTAACAATTTGATAACAAATAGTCCGACTATTTAACTTTTTATCAACAATTCCTGCCAGGTTCTTGTGTTCTCACGTCGCGAAGTACAAGGTCAACCAGCTTTCAATCAGTTAACTCCCTTGCGTCGGGAAGATTAGGGACAGCTTGACATTATACAGGTAGACTAAATCTTCAAGTTTAAGTCAAGTTATATATTTTCGAAGAAAACTACTTGACTGTATCCGACTGTCGTTTACCGTATCATATGTAAAGAATGCAACACCGTTGACAGTTGTTGTGTCTGTTTCATAATTGTAAATGTTAAATTTCCAAAATATTTAAAAAATGTGTTCCCTCCATATTAATGTATCCGAAATACATTGTGTAGATATGAATTATTATTACTAATTGTTATTTTTGTTGTTTATTTGTGTTACATTGACAATGAAACCCGGTTTAAATTTTAACTTTGGGAAATAATAACCTGTGGATTTGATAGTTGTTTTTTGTTATCCAGACATTCCTGATCTTGTTTAGGGGGGGGGGGGGGGGTGGAGGAGGCATAGTGGTCAAAGCGTTAGCTCGTCAGGCCGAAGACCCCGGTTCGATGACCAAGACCAGTACAATATAGAAGACCAAGCTTGGGTTTTCCCACGCTGAATTCTGACATAAGCCAAATCATTCGTTCACTGTATTTAGTTGTCCGACTGTCCGAAAGTTTATCTAAGTTTTTGATGGACAAATATTTAGATCAGAAAATACAATCTCATTTGCGAAAATGATACCACGTTGATTTGACGTGAGTAGACAGGAAAGCTTTAAAACAAGGATTTTTGTAGTTTGGGATTTAGCTGTGTATTATGAATAAAGGGATTCATGAAACATTTTGTTTCAAAATAGTAACCTTGTTAGCCCAGTAACACACTCATTTTATGATGAGAAAGTCCATTTCGGTGTCACGATGTATTAATACGATTTAGATATCTGTACTTTCATATGTCTCATTTGTCTGTTATTCACGTTTGATTGTATTTAATGTGCCATATAGACTAGTCATTTCGTTGTAAAATAAAATCTTAAAATAATATACAAATATTTTGTTTTGTTTAAGACTTCAAGTGTTTGTTTGCCGAGTTAGTAAATATTGTGGCCAATTTAGCTCACCTGGGCACCGTCGTCCGTCAGCCTCCATGTTGAGATCTTTTACTCCAATACGATACTTCTTTGCGTGGATATCTTGGGACACCTACACATCGAGGTATCGTATCGGAGTGACAGATCTGGTTAATGAGATTGGTCAGCGTCTGGAAGCTATATTTCTCAAGAAACAGTGGACCAATGAAGAGATTGAACCAAATGACACCTTAATTTGAGTTCGAGTCCCATTTTCAATATGGCCGCCATTTCTGCTGTTATTTAATTTGTAATAACTCAAAAGCAATCAGACTCAATAGAACGGGTTGTGAGACTAGTTAGCTTGGTGGATTACTAACAACGTTTGTCCAGACAGCCGGTGTTGCTGCAGATGCCTTCAGTCACTGGTTTGTCTGGCCCAGACTTGGTTAAAAGATTGGTTTGTTTATTTGTTGTTTAACGCCGCACTCAGCAATATTCCAGCTATATGACGGCGGTCTGTTAATAATCGAGTCTGGACCAGACAATCCAGTGATTGACATCATGAGCATCGATCCACGCAATTGGGATCGATGACATGCATCAACCAAGTCAGCGAGCCTGACCACCCGATCCCGAATAGCTTGTAAACTCTCGAGTTCGATGTTTGTGATCGTCATGCTTGATTGTGTGAATGTTCGTGGACGCCTCAGCTAACCAGGCCTATTCCAGCTGTACCCTGGCGCCATCTAAAGCACGCTCAGGCTAACGCGTGGTCGATAGCATGAGCAGCGAGCCACGCCGTCGGTGTAAGATGACACAAAACCAGCCAGGTCACAAAATATAGCAATGCATTTGCTGCTTGGAAAAGGTGGGCAAACGCTAATAATATGTGTGATCAGTTGCCCGTTTCACATTTGCATTGTGCTATTTATCTGTTGTCTATTGTGCAACAGAGTGAAACAATAACACCAGTGTTAACAGCATTTTATAGTTTAAGGCATGCTCATTGTAACATTGGACTAGAGAGTCCCACTGAAAATAGCCTTGTCAAGAATGTTTTGGAAGGAGCAAGGCGCAAACTGTCTAAGCCAGTGGTTAAAAAGGAGCCAATCACAGTTGATATACTTGAACGGTTGTATGATTCAAAAATGATCAATGCATCTTTAATGGATCTGCGAATAGTATCTATGTGTTTATTAGCTTTCGCCGGATTTTTAAGATCTGCAGAATTAATTCATATATCTCGTTCTGATATTTTATTTTATAAGTCACACATGGTCATTTTTATTGAAAAGTCAAAGACGGATATATACAGGGATGGCGCGTGGCTTGTTATTAGTAGGACAGATTCCAAGCTGTGTCCAGTAGCCTGTGTGGAGAGATATTTACAAGCTGCATCTATTCATCCAGATTGTGATCAGTACATATTCAGGAATGTAAGCAAATGTCGTTCAGGCTATGTTCTTAGAAAGGACAATGTTCCACTGTCTTATACCCGGTTAAGGGAACTATTTATTGATGCTTTAACTCCCTTTGTTGACAACATCAAGAAGTATGGTCTGCATAGCTTACGTAGTGGTGGTGCTACTGCAGCTGCAAATAATGGTATACCAGATCGTATGTTCAAACGACATGGTCGTTGGAGAAGGCGAGAACGCTAAAGATGGTTACATCAAAGATAGTATTGATAACAGAATGAAAGTATCACTTTCCTTAGGCCTATAACTTTCTTTGTACATCTCGGCCGTGTATCACACAGCGTATTCCCATGTTAATGGTGTTGTGTCTTGATTAAGTATGTAGGGGATAAGGAGAAATAATATTTCTCTCGTTTGAAGAATGAATAAGATAGAAATTATTTTCTCCTAGCGGTATGTCAATCAAGGTGATTATGTGCCCCTAGGTGGCGTGATTAAGGGGGTATATAAGGGGTAGTACAATTTTGAATTGTTCTCTCTCGCTCACTGTGCATGCACGGCCTCACACTTGTTTCTTATATTAATTTGATGAACATGTATATTAAATTTGGTTCTTCATTTTATGATTTAATGATTTCATGTGTTGCAGATAGTTGATGAAATGCACATTTGAGGGTAATGTGTACTGTTGTAAGTGATGCCATTGCTTGGCTGGCGAGTCTTTACAATACAGCGTTGCTTCATTGAGAAAGTCCATTGTTGGATGCAGTGATGTTGCTTGGCCGGCGGGCCTTTATAATAAAGCGTTGTTTTATTGTGAAAGTGTGCATTGTTGGATGCAATGATATTGCTTGGCCGGCGGGCCTTTATAATAAAGCGTTGTTTTATTGTGAAAGTGTGCATTGTTGGATGCAATGATATTGCTTGGCCGGCGGGCCTTTATAATACAGCGTTGTTTTATTGTGAAAGTGTGCATTGTTGGATGCAATGATATTGCTTGGCCGGCGGGCCTTTATAATACAGCGTTGCTTTATTGTGAAAGTGTGCATTGTTGGATGCAATGATATTGCTTGGCCGGCGGGCCTTTATAATAAAGCGTTGTTTTATTGTGAAAGTGTGCATTGTTGGATGCAATGATATTGCTTGGCCGGCGGGCCTTTATAATACAGCGTTGTTTTATTGTGAAAGTGTGCATTGTTGGATGCAATGATATTGCTTGGCCGGCGGGCCTTTATAATACAGCGTTACTTTATTGTGAAAGTGTGCATTGTTGGATGCAATGATATTGCTTGGCTGGCGAGCCTTTATAATACAGCGTTACTTTATTGTGAAAGTGTGCATTGTTGGATGCAATGATATCGCTTGGCTGGCGAGCCTTTATAATACAGCGTTACTTTATTGTGAAAGTGTGCATTGTTGGATGCAATGATATTGCTTGGCTGGCGAGCCTTTATAATACAGTGTTGCTTTTGATAATACTGCATATACTATGCGAGTTGCACTGTATGTAATAAATTATGAAATTCATTTGTAACATATGTTCATGAATTGTTAGTATTTCTGTTTGGACTTGCATATACATGTCATGAGTATACTGTATACCCTCCAGTATTTGCTGCTGCATCCGTTGAGGGAACACGGTTCCAGATGTTTTCTTATAAAGGTTTTTATATCTGGTTTTACGTGTCGGGCTTCAGCAAAATATAAATATTCATAGCAGATTGCTGACAATGTATATACAAATGTGTATTCAATGAATATCTTTGTTTTATACTATACGCAAATAAATCGGCCGTGTATCACACAGCGTATTCCCATGTTAATGGTGTTGAGTCTTGATTAAGTATGTAGGGGATAAGGAGAAAAGACTATCTTAAGCCTATGTTAAAGAATGGGAGTTACGATCATCTTAGCGCTAAGATCGCTTTGTGCAAGTGGGCCCAGGTACAAACATACTGCCACGAGTAAGAGTGACTGAGTTTGGTTTAGCGCCGCTTTTGATAATTTTCCAGTTATATCACGGCGTGTCTGGTTATTGTAGGAGAAAAGCCCGAAGTGATGCAGGTCTTAGACGTTTACTACCTTGGTGAAACCCATGAGCACGGGTATGGTGCTGACAAATCTAGAAACATAATCGGGGCGAACCGGGATTCGAATTCACAATTATAGGTTTCTGGTGTAGCCAAGGGACGCAACTCTGCACAGCGAATTGCAGCGCCTTAGACGACTGCCCCCGCCACGGGTAAGAACAAATATTATAGTAAAATAAAAAGACTAATGAAACTACAATTTCATTAAAATCAGATCTAAGTTCTCCCTGCCGCTCAGATTGAATGAAACTACTACTAACTAATGTTTTAAGAGGATGTGAAAAGGGATTTAACACCACGTAAATATACTAGCCACATAAAGAAACTGTGCACGGAGAAAATATATTCTGGATTGAAATACAACACAGCAAGAACAAAATGATGCAGACGCTGTAGCAGCTGAATGATCGGACCATAAGAAAATGTCAACGGGACCTGAACAACATCTGTTACGATGACGTCAGAAGATCAAAATGGAGCAGGGGGTCAAACGACAAAGTCACAAAGTCAATAACGGGTATGACCACCCTGTGCGTGAATCACAGCAGTGCATCGGCGACGCATGGAGTCCACCAAATGGGCATGGAAGTCCTGGGGAATGGCCTGCCATATCCTCCTCAAATCCTGTGCCAAGTCACGGACGTTATCTGGAGGATGTGGAAGACGACGCAGACGGCGCTCCATTTCATCCCACACATGCTCCATTGGGGAGAGATCTGGAGAAATTGCAGGCCATGGCAGTAACATGACATTGTTATGGTGAAGGAAATCCATTGCGACCCTAGCCGTGTGAGGACGAGCGTTGTCCTGTTGAAATGTCAATCCCGGGCCATGATGTTGCAGGAAAGGAATGAATCTGATCTCTGTAGCCAACACCGGTGAGATTGCCCTGAACAACCACCAAAGGGGTTCGTTGCCGTCCTGTTATCCCATCCCAAATCATCACAGAGCCACCTCCAAAACGATTCCTCTCGACAATACAGTTGCGTGCATAACGTTCTCCCAAACGCCGGTAGACACGTTGGGGCCCGTCACTGTGGGAAATGTTGAACCTCGATTCATCTGTAAAGACAACATTTCTCCACCATATTCGAGGTTGGCGAACATGATTTCGACACCATCTTAGACGGTGACTCGATGACGGTGTGTCAGGATGGGACGTATGGCAGGGCGTCGTGGTCGAATCCCGTACTGACGTAAACGATTCCTGACAGTGTTGGGATGGATACGGCGCAGTCCAGGAATTGTCTGGGACGTCGTTACTGCCGTTTGGAACCTGTGTCGGAGATGTGTAACTCGAATCCATCTGTCCTGTCTTGGCGTCGTTACTCGGGGACGTCCTGAATGTGGGTGGTCGGCAACGTCATTTGTGTTCTGATAACGCCTCACCAATGCCGATATCGTGTTACGATGGCATTGGAAATGTGTTGCCACCTGTTGTTGCCTCATTCCCGCTCGGATCATTCCAATGGCTTCATGACGCTGTGCAGCTGTCAATCTTGGCATGATTTGCTTGTGATATGCTTGTGTCTGCGCCTGAGATGTTTTGAATTTTTGAATGACCACAGATCATGCTTTCCAAAGTGACAGCGAATTTTGAGTTGCACATGCTGTGTACAGCTGCACAGGATGCACGTGCAGTAACACATTGCACGTCCATAGGCCCCCATCAATGACGTCATATCGCATGGCACGTGCATGAGCGTTTGAATGTCTCCAATAATTGCTGTGTTCAAACCTATCTTTCATATATGGACGGTGTGCCCTTATATCTATATTTTCTCCGTGCACAGTTTCTTTATGTGGCTAGTATATATCGACATGTATGCGTGCGTGCGTATCTGCTTGTACCCAAATCAAGACTTATTCTGGTTTTATAGGGCTAGCCTGTCATCATTTCAAGGACTATCCAATTTGTCATAACCCTCCTTGGCAAACCTAAACTCCCTCCCACAAGGGCGTTGTCATGTTGAAGATGTTGACTTTTAGAGAAAAAACAACATTTAGGAATCACATGTTTATACAACAGCGCCATATACGTTGTTTCCTTTAGCTGACAACAGACAGATGTAGGCAAGGAGGCTACATTTTGCAGTATTTCAAACACAGGGTCAAGGCGACCCTATGTGAGGGTCAAAGTGACCTTAATGTCACTGACCCTCTCTTGTACTGTTATCATGCATGTGACAAAATAAGGGGTGAACTTCCAGAATATCCTAATGGTAGATACAAATAAACACAAATAATATGAAATGATGTAGAATATCCGACTTACCAAAATACGCGACTAAACAATAACTTGTTTTAGTCTTTGGGGCCCGTAACTAAATTATGCTATTTTTTAAGGTGATTGGCCGGTTGGTTGGTTGGTTGGTTTGTTGTTTAACGCCGCACTCAGCAATATTCCAGCTATATGACGGCGGTCTGTAAATAATCGAGTCTGGACCAGACAATCCAGTAATATCATGAGCATCGATCCACGCAATTGGGATCGATGACATGCATCAGCCAAGTCAGCGAGCCTGACCACCCGATCCCGTTAGTCGCCTTTTACGACAAGCATAGTCGCCTTTTACGGTATGCATGGGTTGCTGAAGACCTATTCTACCCCGGATCTTCACGGGTAAGGTGATTGGCCGGGTCGTGTCCCAGGAAATTTATGTATTATTTTAATATTTGTTTATAACCTATATAAATGTATGCTCAAATGTAAACATATAGACATAGACAGAAGAAGAGTCAATCATAATGGCCAAATTCCACTTCATTATTAACATCCAATTTCTCAGTTCCCCGGGGAGTATACAACCCAAGCTACCCCTGAGGCGCTAGGAGGTTAACAATCAGATAACAGTCTGCTCCTGCCGGGTACCCATTCACTGCTGGGTGAACATGTGCTACATGCATGTGCTACATGTGCTTCAGTGTGGGGCAGGACCAACGCCCTGAAAATTCTAAGGAGTCGAGCCATCCGACTGCTCTCCGCGACCACCGGGCTGTGCACAGGACCAGTGCCACCACATTATGACACACACAAGTAGGTTCCGATTGCATGCAGACAGAACAAATGTTCTGTGTCGCCGTGGTGATGATCCTGATAACCAACGTCTTAAAAAGAAGGAAATAGTTTATTGTAAAATATCTTTATTACCCTGTACGTGAGAAAAAAAACAGTGAAAGGTGAAGGATGGAGATAATCCTGTCCAGTGAACAGCTCAATATCCGTCGGGAACCGACTTAATGGGTTTCCAGTGTTAAGGCTTGGACACACGTCTTGAGATCTCGGATAGCAATGTCAATGTCTCTTTTGGAGGTCTCCCTCCCAACCGAGAAACGCAAAGCATTTCTGGCAATGTCCTCCGGGATACCAATGGCCAGAAGAATAGGGGAGGCCCTGAAATAGAATTGGGTATGATCATTTCATGAATATGTAGTGGCCATAAAAGTTCCGAGTCCCGTGATGGGATTCGAACCACGGACCTTCTGATCCGAGATCGGACGTCTTGTCCACATGACCAAAGAGGTTAACCTGACAAGCTGACAAGGTAAGGATGTCATCTGTGGGACGACTCCACGCCCTGCTACAAATAGGAATTATCTTGTTAGCAGATATCGAATATATTTCGAAGCTGTTCACAAATACTGAATATCAATTGACCAGTCACATACTGGGCTTTTCCGCACAGTCATTAACGGATGTTATAGGCTCAGACTCGGATTTCATAACTAGCTCAGGTATGGAATATATTTGTGTAAAGGGAAGGGCTTGGATATTGTTTAAGTCGGAATATATTTTCAGTCAAGGTTTCAACAACAAAAACATGATTGAATAGTGCTGGTGTCCCGACGCGTTGTTTCAGAAGATCCATCTGTCCAGTCAACGATTTATTTACTTTTTAAGACCTGAGGACATTTTCTTGAACCCCCATCCTCAGAGGACAGAAAAGACAGAGAAATACATGGCAAATACATGGCCGCTATGCGTATCTAGTTCGGGCTGTATTGCAGTACTATCAAGTTATAATGAGGTTACTGAGACAACACCGCTTGTTCAAGTTTATCAAAATCAGTCTGTCTCATGACCCTAATTACTGACACAATGCTCCTCCCCCCCCCCCCCCCCCCCTCCCCCCCCCCAGTGTCATACAGAGCGTCCATAACAGTGTCGAGACTAACGCTGACATAACCTCTGACCTTGGTACACCTCGCGGTAAGATAAACAACCTCATATTTCAGAGACACACTGATATTCTCAAACTGACATCATGGTATTCATTCCAAAACAGCTCTGAAAAAATGAACAGAGAGAAATGGGATAGATCTTTGACTCAACTCATTATAAGCTTCATATAGAGTGTTTTTCAATCAAATATTTCTTTTTCGATTTTCAAAGCTGACCGAAAAAAGGACAACCAAAGTCAACATGGTAACATTTTTTTACATCTCACAGATGACACGCAAAATCCAAAACTATTGAATTTTAAAAATATTGATGAAACTGAGGTTTCTGATAAAGAAAATATAAATGAGAATCTTCTTGATTCTTCTTGAAATAAGACAGTAGATCGAAGTATGCACTGGTGCTTATTTTTCATAGTGGTAACTGTCCGGGAAAGTTTGGTTACCCTGTCGGTATCATTTAGAATTGCATCTGAAAAGATATACCATGGTTACGAATAGAAGGAATGCTATCAAGTTGGCTCACTGCAAGTGAACCACGCGTATAGATTGATGAAGGGAAGCTTGAACAATTTGTTTATTTGTTGTTTAACGCCGCACTCAGCAATGTTCCAGCTATATGACGGCGGTCTGTAAATAATAGAGTCTGTACCAGACAATCCAGTTATTGATATCATGAGCTTAGCTTAGCGCTAAGACTGTCGAAAGTCTATGTTATAGTATGGGAGTTACGATCAGCTTAGCACTATGACTGTCGTAATTCTATGTTAAAGTATGGGAGTTGCGATCAGCTTAGCGCTACTACTGTCGTAAGTCTATGTTAAAGTATGGGAGTTGCGATCAGCTTAGCGCTACTACTGTCGTTAGTCTATGTTATAGTATGGGAGTTACGATCAGCTCAGCGCTACTATTGTCGTAATTCTATGTTATAGTATGGGAGTTACGATCAGCTTAGCGCTACGACTGTCGTAATTCTATGTTATAGTATGGGAGTTACGATCAGCTTAGCGCTACGACTGTCGTAAGTCTATGTTAAAGTATGGGAGTTACGATCAGCTTAGCACTATGACTGTCGTAAGTCTATGTTAAAGTATGGGAGTTGCGATCAGCTTAGCGCTACGACTGTCGTAATTCTATGTTAAAGTATGGGAGTTGCGATCAGCTTAGCGCTACAACTGTCGTAATTCTATGTTAAAGTATGGGAGTTGCGATCAGCTTAGCACTATGACTGTCGTAAAGCTATGTTAAAGTATTGGAGTTGCGGTCAGCTTAGCACTATGACTGTCGTAATTCTTTGTTAAAGTATGGGAGTTACGATCAGCAGAGCGCTAAGACTGTCGTTATTCTATGTTAAAGTATGGGAGTTGCGATCAGCTTAGCACTATGACTGTCGTAAAGCTATGTTAAAGTATTGGAGTTGCGATCAGCTTAGCACTATGACTGTCGTAATTCTATGTTAAAGTATGGGAGTTACGATCAGCAGAGCGCTAAGACTGTCGTAATTCTATGTTAAAGTATGAGAGTTACGATCAGCTTAGCGCTACGACTGTCGTAATTCTATGTTAAAGTATGGGAGTTACGATCAGCTTAGCGCTACAACTGTCGTAAGTCTTTGTTAAAGTATGGGAGTTACGATAAGCTTAGCACTACGACTGTCGTAAGTTTATGTTAAAGTATGGGAGTTACGATCAGCTTAGCGCTACGATCGCTTTGTGGAACGGGGGCCTGACAATATTGTTTACAAGTGTCATATTCTGATACATAGGCTGGAATATTGCTCAGTTAAACAGCTATCACACAAAACATCACCCACCACATCATTAACCACCAACACAACGCACACAACAACCAATAACATTAATTAATGGGCCATACTACAGGCGATACAGCTGCTATGGTAATGTGCTGCCAGCAACTCTATACTTGCCTGTTCTGAGCGTGACATGCTGCCCCGACACTGGCCTGAATACACGCAGCCTTGTTCAGCACCTTGTGACCTTCAACACAAAATTGCAACATGGTGGAAAGGGCAGATCAACTCTTGACTTATCTATATCTGTGTTCAAACCATGTGTACCTTGATGGGACACAAGCATGGACACAAGAAGGTTGAGACACCTGGTTGAGACACCTACTTGGGGCACCTGTTGAGGAATCTGGTTGAGACACCAACTTGGGGCACCTGTTGAGACACCTGGTTGAGACACCTACTTGGGGCACCTGTTGAGACACCTGGTTGAGACACCTACTTGGGGAACCTGTTGAGACACCTGGTTGAGACACCAATCTGGATTCCTACTTAAGGCACCTGTTGAGACACCAACTTGGGGCACCTGTTGAGACACCTGGTTGAGACTCCTACTTGGGGCACCTGTTGAGACACCTGGTTGAGACTCCTACTTGGGGCACCTGTTGAGACACTTGGTTTAGATACCTACTTGGGGCACCTGTTGACACACTTGGCTGAGACACTTGGCTGAGACACCTACTTGGGGCACCTGTTGAGACATCTGGTTGAGACACCTACTTGGGGCACCTGTTGAGACATCTGGTTGAGACACCTACTTGGGGCACCTGTTGAGACACTTGGTTTAGATACCTACTTGGGGCACCTGTTGACACACTTGGCTGAGACACTTGGCTGAGACACCTACTTGGGTCATTTGGTAGGGAAGCCTACTTGGGGCACCTGTCTCAGACACCTACCTGGACTTCTACTTGGGGCATCTGTTGAGACACCTACTTGGGGCACCTGTTGAGACATCTGGTTCAGACACCTACTTGGGGCACCTGTTGAGACACTTGGCTGAGACACCTACTTGTGACACCTGCCTTGACACCTACTTGGGACATTTGGTTGGGAAACCTACTTGGGGCACCTGTTGAGACACCTATGTGAACACCTGGGGCCCGTTCCACAGTGCGATCTTAGCCCAAGATGACTGTAACTCCCAAGTGTACTTTAAGTGAGTGAGTGAGTTTAGTTTTACGCAACTTTTATCAATATTCCAGCAATATCTCAGGAGGGACACCAGAAATGGGCTTCACACCCATATTTTAACTTTACATAGGGCTTAGATGGTGTTGTGGAACGGAGCTCTGGTTCAGACACCTGGGTACACCTGCTATGTGGGAATTGTGACATTTTGAAAATAGCATCATAAAGCTTGAATTTTTCTTCTACTTGCTTCAAGACAGCAAAATGAATATAAGTGGGAGCAAAACAATTCCTCGGAATAGATCTGAGACCTTGTAAAATTGTGTACTTTTGTAAAATCCATATAAAACATACATCTTTTGTGTCTTAAAGGGGTATTAGCGGTAGGAACTAACGCACTCTGAGTGGGCACAGCTTATATGAGTGATCTGACAGGTCAATATGACCTCATGATAACACACAAATTTCATTGGTTAATGCATAAACAGGTGACGACATGTAAACACCCACCCACGGGGGTGGTTTGACAACAAGGTCATAAGGCTTAATCATGTTTAATGGTAATAAATATCTGTCAAACGATTCAAGATTCAAGACTTTTCAATAAACTCCTCTCAACACTTGGTTGTGTTTACATTGTCAGTCATGTTTGAAACTGAAACACTGCCACCTTGCAGACTGTTTATAGTCAGGGTGGGGCTTTGAATTCGAAACACAGGCCTAATGATGTTTAAATGTAAGTGGAAAATCTTTTTCATATGATTACATTGGCTGAATAAAATACAGTCTTAATCATCACGGAAATGTAACCTTCACATTATACACTGAAGCATACAGGAGTTGCGTCCCTTTACTGCCAGTTCTGTAGCTTGAATAAAAAATGTTTTGACGAAAATTTTATAGGGGAGACAATTTAAACGAGGAAATATTACCCATTGTCATATCACTGACCTCGGTCTGTTATTAAACTGGACATTTTTCTGTCACTGCTTCAAACATGCAATTATTTATAAGTAGGAGCCAAACAATTGTGAAGGAGACAATTTATGGATAACAACTTCTTTATTTAATGTCAAAGGCGACATTTCGGTTTCGTTGAGTGAGTGGGGATGGTTGATTGAGTGAGTGGGGATGGTTGAGTGAGTGAGTGGGTATGGCTGATTGAGTGAGTGGGGATGGTTGATTGATTGAGTGGGTATGGCTGATTGAGTGAGTGGGGATGGTTGATTGAGTGAGTTGGGATGGTTGAGTGAGTGAGTGGGTATGGTTGATTGAGTGAGTGGGGATGGTTGATTGAGTGAGTGGGTATGGTTGATTGGGTGAGTGGGTATGATTGATTGAGTGAGTGGGTATGATTGATTGAGTGGGTGGGGATGGTTGATTGAGTGGGTATGATTGTTTGAGTGAGTGGGTATGGTTGATTGAGTGAGTGGGTATAGTTGATTGAGTGAGTGGGTATGGTTGATTGAGTGAGTGGGTATGATTGATTGAGTGAGTGGGTATGGTTGATTGAGTGGGTATGATTGATTGAGTGAGTGGGTATGATTGATTGAGTGAGTGGGTATGGTTGATTGAGTGAGTGGGTATGATTGTTTGAGTGAGTGGGTATGGTTGATTGAGTGAGTGGGTATAGTTGATTGAGTGAGTGGGTATGATTGTTTGAGTGAGTGGGTATGGTTGATTGAGCGAGTGGGGATGGCTGATTGAGTGAGTGGGTATGGTTGATTGAGTGAGTGGGTATGGTTGATTGAGTGAGTGGGTATGATTGTTTGAGTGAGTGGGTATGGTTGATTGAGTGAGTGGGTATGATTGTTTGAGTGAGTGGGTATGGTTGATTGAGTGAGTGGGGATGGCTGATTGAGTGAGTGGGTATGGTTGATTGAGTGAGTGGGTATGATTGTTTGAGTGAGTGGGTATGGTTGATTGAGCGAGTGGGGATGGCTGATTGAGTGAGTGGGTATGGTTGATTGAGTGAGTGGGTATGATTGTTTGAGTGAGTGGGTATGGTTGATTGAGTGAGTGGGTATGATTGTTTGAGTGAGTGGGTATGGTTGATTGAGTGAGTGGGGATGGCTGATTGAGTGAGTGGGTATGGTTGATTGAGTGAGTGGGTATGATTGTTTGAGTGAGTGGGTATGGTTGATTGAGCGAGTGGGGATGGCTGATTGAGTGAGTGGGTATGGTTGATTGAGTGAGTGGGTATGATTGTTTGAGTGAGTGGGTATGGTTGATTGAGTGAGTGGGTATGATTGTTTGAGTGAGTGGGTATGGTTGATTGAGTGAGTGGGTATGATTGATTGAGTGAGTGGGTATGGTTGATTGAGTGAGTGGGTATGATTGTTTGAGTGAGTGGGTATGGTTGATTGAGTGAGTGGGTATGATTGTTTGAGTGAGTGGGTATGGTTGATAGAGTGAGTGGGTATAGTTGATTGAGTGAGTGGGTATGGTTGATTGAGTGAGTGGGTATGATTGATTGAGTGAGTGGGTATGGTTGATTGAGTGGGTATGATTGATTGAGTGAGTGGGTATGATTGATTGAGTGAGTGGGTATGGTTGATTGAGTGAGTGGGTATGATTGTTTGAGTGAGTGGGTATGGTTGATTGAGTGAGTGGGTATGATTGTTTGAGTGAGTGGGTATGGTTGATTGAGTGAGTGGGTATAGTTGATTGAGTGAGTGGGTATGGTTGATTGAGTGAGTGGGTATGATTGATTGAGTGAGTGGGTATGGTTGATTGAGTGGGTATGATTGATTGAGTGAGTGGGTATGATTGATTGAGTGAGTGGGTATGGTTGATTGAGTGAGTATGATTGATTGATTGAGTGTGTATGGTTTATTGAGTGGGTATGATTGTTTGAGTGAGTGGGTATGGTTGATTGAGTGAGTGGGTATTGTTGATTGAGTGGGTATGATTGATTGATTGAGTGGGTATGATTGTTTGAGTGAGTGGGTATGGTTGATTGAGTGAGTGGGTATGGTTGATTGAGTGGGTATGATTGTTTGAGTGAGTGTGTATGGTTGATTGATTGAGTGTGGTTGATTGAGTGAGTGGGTATGGTTGATTGAGTGAGTGGGTATGATTGATTGAGTGAGTGGGTATGATTGATTGAGTGGGTGGGTATGGTTTATTGAGTGGGTATGATTGTTTGAGTGAGTGGGTATGGTTGATTGAGTGAGTGGGTATGATTGTTTGAGTGAGTGTGTATGGTTGATTGAGTGAGTGTGGTTGATTGAGTGAGTGGGTATGGTTGATTGAGTGAGTGGGTATGATTGATTGAGTGAGTGGGTATGATTTATTGAGTGGGTATGATTGTTTGAGTGAGTGGGTATGGTTGATTGAGTGAGTGGGTATGATTGTTTGAGTGAGTGAGTGGGTATGGTTGATTGAGTGAGCGGGTATGGTTGATTGTGTGGGTATGATTGTTTGAGTGAGTGGGTGTGGTTGATTGAGTGAGTGGGTATGGTTGATTGAGTGGGTATGATTGATTGAGTGAGTGGGTATGATTGATTGAGTGAGTGGGTATGATTGTTTGAGTGAGTGGGTATGGTTGATTGAGTGAGTGGGTATAGTTGATTGAGTGAGTGGGTATGGTTGATTGATTGGGTGGGTATGATTGAGTGGTTGGGTATGGTTGATTGAGTGGGTATTGTTGATTGAGTGAGTGGGTATAGTTGATTGATTGAGTGGGTATGATTGATTGATTGAGTGTGTATGGTTTATTGAGTGGGTATGATTGTTTGAGTGAGTGGGTATGGTTGATTGAGTGAGTGGGTATTGTTGATTGAGTGGGTATGATTGATTGATTGAGTGGGTATGATTGTTTGAGTGAGTGGATATGGTTGATTGAGTGAGTGGGTATGGTTGATTGAGTGGGTATGATTGATTGAGTGAGTATGAGTGAGTGAGTGGGTATGATTGAGTGAGTGAATGGGTATGATTGATTGAGTGAGTATGATTGAGTGAATTGGTATGATTGATTGAGTGAATGGGTATGATTGATTGAGTGAATGGGTATGATTGATTGAGTGAATGGGTATGATTGATTTAGTGAGTGGTTATGACTGATTGAGTGAGTGGGTATGGCTGATTGAGTTAATCCTTATGGTTGACTGAATGTGTACGGTTGAGTGAGTGGGAATGATTGATTGAGAGGGTGTGCTAAAACATAATAAAATGCTTTGGTGGTGTAATAGGTTTACACTTGGACACCTGGTCCCCTATCAAACATACAAATATATAAATATTTAGCTTGCTTGACATGGGGTGAGGGTGGGGTACACTCCTGTAGTCTCGCTCTGGATCTACGTATGTCAGTCAGTAACAGGCAGCTACGCTTGTCGTAAGAGGCGGCTAACGGGATCGGGTGGTCACACTTGCTGACTTGGTTGATGCATGTCATCACATCCTAATTGCATGGATCGATACTCATGGTGTCAATCACTGGATTGCCTGGTCCAGATTCGATTATTTACAGACCGCCATCATATAGCTGGAATATTGCTGAGTGTGGCCTTAAACAACAAACAAACATTGCAGTGTTAAACCCAACTCACTCACTCACTCACCAGTGATGACTACAGTAACGCTGCTTGATTGCTTGACAGGCTTGACTGCTTGACTGCTAGCTGTGCTGATAATGCATGATTTTGGTTTTGCAAATAGTGGGTTTTTGCAAATAGACTCGATTATTTACAGACCTCCATCATAAAGCTGGAATATTGCTGAGTGTGGCATTAAACAAACAAACAAACAAACAGTGTTATAATGCCCCATCAGGGTTCATCTCTCACCTTCCAGACCTTTACCTTTGAAGGAAAAGTTGCATGTGTTTGGAAGTCTCTGGCTAGTCTTGAATTTACCATTGATGTGGATCATGTCTCCAAATTCTCTCTGCAAAAAATGTCAAACTATAGCTGGCAGACAAGCGAGGTGTTTGTGAGTAGCCTCAGTTAAAAAGAAACACGCTGTTATCAACACTGAACATATTGTTGAGCACCGCCAATTACAACACACCTAGGGTGAGTGAGTGAGTGAGTTGGGTTTAACGCCGCTTTTAACAGTATTCCAGTTATATCACGGCGTGTCAGCTTAATGTTGGAGGAAAGCCCGAAGTGATGCAGGTTTCAGACGTTTACCACTTCGGTGAAACCCACGAGCACGGTTAGGTGCTGACAAACCTAGAAACATAATCGGGGATAACCGGGATTCGAACCCACAATCATAGGTTTCTGGCATGCCCAAGGGACGCAACTCTGCACAGCGAACACACCGAGGGAGTTTCTAACTGGCACAACCTTTCCTGTAGGTTTTCTGGCTTAATCTATGATTGTGAAGATTATTATTTCAAGAGACAAAAATTAACAATAATAAAATGTGAGTTGTTATTTATTGAGTTAAACTGTCAAAAACCCTGAAAAGATCATTCTGTAGGATGGAACTCGTGAAGATCCGGGGTAGAATAGGTCGTCAGGAACCGATCCTTGCTGTAAAAGGCAGCTATGCTTGTAAGACGCGACTAACGGGATCGGGTGGTCGGGCTCGATGACTTGGTTGATGCATGTCATCATATCAACAGTGCGTGGATCGTTGTTCATGATGTCAGTCACTGGATTGTCTGGTCCAGACACGATTATTTACTGACCGCTGTCATTTAGCTGGATTTTGTTGGTGGGTTTCTTGTTGTTTAACGCCGCACTCAGCAATATTCCAGCTATATGACGGCGGCCTGTAAATAATCAAGTCTGGACCAGACAATCTAGTGATTAATATCATGAGCATCGATCCATGCAATTAGGATCGATGACATGTATCAACCAAGTCAGCAAGCCTGACCACCCGATCCCGTTAGTCGCCTTTTACGACAAGCATAGTCACCTTTTACGGCAAGCATGGGTTGCTGAAGACCTATTCTACCCTCGATCTTCACAGGTCTCATTTAGCTGGAATATTGCTGAGTGAGTGCGGCATTAAACAACAAACAAACAAACTGTAGGATTGAAACCTTGCAGCACTGGTTCATTGTAGTTCCACTGTCTCATGACTCCCTACACAAATATAGTACATTGCATGACTGTCATTACACAACAGATGCCAGGTTAATCAGGAAAAAGGTAATCCTTACAGATGTAGCGTTGTGTACCACTAGATAGTGAATCTTTCCATATACCCCAATTCCTTCTCCAGATAACAGTCAAAATTTAAGGTACAAGATTAATATATTTAGAAATAAAGGAAAGATAATTCTTGCAGGTGTTAAGTTGCATACCACTAAAAATTTCAATCTTCCCACATACCTCTAACTCCTCCTCTAGGTAATCCCGGACATCCCTAAGGTGTTTCTCATAGGCGTCAATATTCCTAACCACGAGCTCTGCTGCCTGAAAGGAATAAACTTAAATGAGGAATAAACAGATAAAATACCTTGCTACAATAAAATATATCGCAAGTTCAATTATCGTAAATAATCGAAGTTTCATGTTTAGGGAATAGCCAATGAGCTATAAGGCATTTAATCAGTCAGAATGATGAGATCTGATTGGTTCACAGGATCTCATAAATTACTATGTATCCCACCTGGGAGGAAAATAAATTTCTGAGCAGGAGAACAAATCCCTTGTACCCTGCCATGAAGAAGACACGCTGCACATGGAGCTGGGAGCGGGGGAATAAATCCCTTATACCAAGCTTCAAAGCAAAAGCTGTACGCTTTTTCCAAGGAAAACAAGTAAAACATGTCAGTTAGATAAATTCGGCGTAGCAGTATCACACGGGGTACACATACATAGTTTTATCCATCCCTTGTTCGGTTTTATACCAATCGCTTGTTAGTCTCAAGCTATAGATGTATGTATGGGGAGAAACTTACAGTATTCATTCCCAAGGGAAGGACAATCAATCATTCTAAGAGTAAATTATTCTATGATTATAGCTAAGATGGATAGGATTATCATTAAACCGCCCGCATGTTATCAGAAATGAGTGGGCCACTGTAACTTGATAATGTCCTCATATTGCTTGACGACAGGCCATTATCACGCCCGTTGTTAGGTGACGTCATGGAGATAAGTAAAGGTGACGTCACGTTCAATAGTGATGTCATCCATTGTTCATGACGTCAAGAAGTGATATTGTCATCAGAACAACCCACAACAAACTGACACACCATGATGTAACGTAATTACGACTCAAAGCAAAAGTCAATCACTCAACAAACGAATCAGCTTCACATGACATTCCACTGTATGCAAGCTTCTCATGGAACTATTCTCTGGTGAGAGTAGTGATGGTCATAAATGTCCTGAATCTTCGTAGACTGCACTGGTTCTCTCCAAATCCATTTGAATAACATACATTCAATATAACACACTTTTCAAAACATTTCAGTTACAGCTTATTAGTGATGTGAAAAGAAGGAGTGAGTTCGTGAGTATGGTTTTATGCTGCTTTTAACAATACTCCATCAATATCACGGCAGGGGACACCAGAAATAGGCTTCACACGTTGTCCCCAACGATGTAAAAAGAGGATTTGCTAATGTCCTGCAAGTAAAGCAGGCATGTGTCATCCCACTGACCACATCCGTCCTTTGTCACCTCTTTTTAACCACTTTTTAACCTCTTTTTTGGTCATGTGTACAAGATATCCAATCTCGGATCAAATCCAGTCACTGTACTCGGACATTTTATGACTGTTACATTGACACACAATGTGGGGATGAGTATGTTCATATTAAATTTCAGCAAAATATATCTCATTACCTACTATGCGGCCTGGGACGTGCCTTCTGTTGACAGGGGGTATGTAGCAGGGCGTGGAGTCATCTTATAGATGACATCCTTACCTTGTCAGCTTGCTCTTGGTCATGTGGACAAGGTGTCAGACCTCGGATCAGAAGGTCCCAGGTTCGAATCCCAGGGGACACAGAAATGTTATGGCAGCCACACATGTCTAACGATATCCTTTGTTCGCACCTCCAACATTACAAAGAGGAGACACAGCGTCTATCCCTTACCTTGCCAAGACCAGCAATCATGCCACCATTTTCTGTCCTAAAACAATACAACAGGATTATACCAATGTATTAGATCATTCATCAACTTAATTTTGATTTTAAGTGAGTGAGTGAGTGAGTGAGTTTAACAGTATTCCAGTTATATCACGGCGTGTCAGCTTAATGTGGGAGGAAAGCTAGAAGTGATGCAGGTCTCAGACGTTTACCTCTTCGGTGAAACCCACGAGCACGGGTATGACAAACTCATGACGTATGACGTGCTGACAAACCTAGAAACATAATCAGGGCAAACCGGGATTCTAACCAACAATCATAGTTTTCTGGCATGCCCAAGGGACGCAACTCTGCACAGCGAATTGCAGCACCAAAGACAACTGGGCCATTCGTGCCCCCTTTAACTTTAAGTTATTTTGGATTTGCCCTGAAAATTCCTATGGACATATATAACAGGAGCTAACAAATCATTAATAGATTGTAATCAGAGATAAAATATACAAGACATTTTCAACCTATAGGAAGATACTCATCATTTCATTTCATCTACTTTGAATAAGACTCATCATCTATAGTTTAAAAAGAAAACATGCCAATGTGATGCTAATTGATGGATCAAGAGGCATGCCAGAAACCATGATCGTGAATTCAACTTCTGGTTCGACCTATGTTTCCAGGTTTGTCAGCACCAAACTTATGCTCATGGGCTTCACCAAAGTGGTAAATGTCTGACTGACATCTCTTTGGGCCTTCCTCCGACATGAAGCTGACACATCCTAATATAACTGGAATACTGTTCATTAAATGTTCCAGGTTAGAATAAGTCTTCAGCAACCCATGCTTGCCATAAAAGGCAACTATGCTTGTCGTAAGAGGCGACTAATGGGATCGGGCTTTCAGACTCGCTGACTTGGTTGATGCATGTCATCGTATCCCAATTGCGTGGATCAATGCTCCTGATGTCAATCACTGAATTGTCTGGTCCAGACAAATTATTTACATACCGCCGTCATATAGCTGGAATATTGCTGAGGGCGGCGTTAAACAACAAACAAACAAACATTGCAGTGTTAAGCCCAACTCACTCGCTCACTCACTCACTCACTCATTCACTCACTCATTCACTCACCAGTGATGACTACAGTTAAGTTGCTTGACAGGCTTGACTGCTAGCTGTGCTGATAATGCATAATTTTGTTTTTGCAAGTATTGGGGCAGGCTTAAACTGAAACACTGCATGATCTGCAAAGTCTATGCATCATACGCACCCTGGTCGGAAATTCCTCTCCTGTCCTCCACCAAAGAATAAAGGGTAGAGTGGTGTCCCCTTGTCTATATCACGTACATAGATGGCGCCAACTCTTGGAGCATAGAACTGCATGAAATATAACAAGGTGTCAAACTAGAGGTATTTGTAAGTAGTTGCACAAACAGCCCCTCAACTAACATTATCTCATAGCTCCCCGAATCCAGTTCCACGCTGAAAACATCCATACCAGACAGCTGCCTACATTCGCTAAGATGCAACAACTGCCAAGTGAAGACAGATTGACTCCTTGGTGTTTCTAGGGCTTCGGTCCTGCCCCGCACTGATGCACATGTAGCACACATGGTGTCTCCCTGGGTAAGTGACTCTGTTGGCTATAGGCCTCTGTTCACCGAAGGGGGCATGGGTGTCCCAGTCGTCTAAGGCACCGCGATTTGCTGTGCAGAGTCCAAGAGACGCAACTCTGCACAGCGAATTGCAGCTGACCTTAGACAACTGGGCCACCATTGGCCAGTAACTGGCAATGAAAGATGCAACCAAGTTTCACAATAACCACAAAGACATTTTATGAGGTAGGATTTTATAAGATATATATAAATGTTTATAGACAATGATATAATGAACACCTGCCTCTAAAAACACTAGATCTGAGACAATCTCATTAAAATTCAAATCTTAGTTCTACCTATCGCTAAACAAAGATCTGAGGACATCCCATTACGCGTCAAGTCAGAACGACCTTTCATCCGACCAATCAAAGCATCACTTACCAGATCATGAAAGTGACAGTCGGAATGTGTTTTCTAATCATGCAACCTCACAACCGTTAACACGGGGGATTCTGAACGACAGTTACAGCCCTTACGACTGATTCCGTCAAAGTTATCGTCTATCTCTCGCTTCCGTGGGGTAACCATATGAACGGAGGAGGCATTGCACAGTACGTGGGAAGCACTGCCATAGAATCGCAAAGGTCATTCTGACGTGACCCATAATGGGATGTCCTCAGATCTTTGTTTAGCGGCAGTGAGAACTTAGATCTGATTTTAATGAGATTGGATCTGAGACAAAACAAATCTAAAATATGCACAGGGTCTTCAACTAGTCCCGGATTAATAAAATAATTTACAATCATCACTTTTTATCAACTGTATGTGCTACAATATATGTATTAATGAATAGTAATATTTTTTATAGACCAACAATAGGACTAGTCTTAAAACAAAACTGAATAATCCTAAGGCAGACCATATCTTCAAAATAATCATTTACACAAGGATTACCTTAAGAACTCAGAATTGGAATGTGGTCTTGGCAATGGTTACCTAATGTATTCCAAATAGTAACATGGTCAAGACAAGGGTTACCATATGTTCGACAACAATAAGATAGTTTAATCAAGGGTTACCATGGTTACCTTATGCCCCACAATAGTAAGGTAGTCCGCATGAATGTCACTGACATCGACCTTGACCTTGCCTAAAGCCTGTGCAGCATCAGTATGGAGCAGGATCTTGGAGGTCTCACCGGTCAGGCGCTTGAGACTCCGCACTTGAGAAAATATCTCTGAGATTGGCTGCAAAGAAGCAGTGAGGTGTAGCCATGGTAACAGTTATGATGATTTTTACCAGAATGAAACGTTTAATATTTGGACAATGTCACCTATGTGAGCTGAATTTAAAATTCATTGTGTGATAACTATCATGTTTTTACCAGACAGTCGGAATGTGTTTTCTAATCATGCAACCTCGTAAACGTTAAAACGGGGATTCCGAACGACAGTTACGTCCTGTACGACTGATTCCTTCAAAATTATGGTCTATCTCACGCTTTCGCGGGATAAACATTTGAACGAAGAAGGTGTTGCACAGTACGTGGGAAGCACTGTCATACAATCACAACCATATATTAGACATTCCGGAATGTTCATTTGTTCAGTTTTCAAAATTTTAATCGAGAACTGTGTCAACATATTTTTCAAGCGTAGTCTGAAATGGAAGTCGCCAGGTTGAAACGAGTGCCAAGAAAGCTCGAGAAAGCTGCTTTCTCATTGGCTGATATCGACTTCTTGTTATTCGTTTCAGTGGTCGGTCCAAGTTCGTGATAGGTCGTTCTGACGTGACCTTTAATGGGATGTCCTCAGATCTTTGTTTAGCGGCAGTGAGAACTTAGATCTGATCTTAATGAGATTGTATGGATAGGAAACGATATTTGGGTAATATGTCACCTGTATGATACCTGTCTCGTCATAACTGTCACCATGATGGCGTGGGGATGCACCCCTAAAAGTCCAGTTTCCACCCTTGTCCAACTGGGTTGAAATTTCCAGGCTCAATCGTAGTACCACGAGTGTCAATTACAAGTCATGTCCCTTCTATGTCACTCCTATTGACCAATCAGATTCAATCTCTCATATCACTTGCATTTGCTTCAAACAAAATGACGGTGCCCAGTCAAGACGATCTGATCGATCATCAAGATCCATATTGTAATAAAACAGGTCTTACTTCGTGAAGTGCATCAAATCACGTCAGCACCTCAATTAGAAACATAAAAGGATTTGGAAAATATCTGTTGATGCCAAGTTGGTGGTACATATGCTTTACAAATTGACCGAATATCGGCAGTTGGCGACTGGATATTAATTACGTTACGCGATTTTGACTGGACAATGCATAAACTAGTCCGGTCAAAATATAACTCTATAATTCCAGCCTAGTTTGGTAAGGGTGGAAACTGGACTTTTAAAGCCAGTTAGTTCCCTTGCATCAGGAAGATGGGGCGCACTGCACTCAGGATATCCTCCGGATGATGACCAGCAGGGCTGACACCTGTATAACACCTGTCTCATTGTTGGCCAGCAGGGCTGACACCTGTATAACACCTGTCTTGTTGTTGGCCCATGTGACTGACTTACCTGTATAATACCTGTCTCGTTATTGGCCCATGTGACTGACTTACCTGTACAACACCTGTCTCATTGTTGGCCAGCATGACTGACTTACCTGTATAACACCTGTCTCGTTGTAGGCCAATGTGACTGACTTACCTGTATAACACCTGTCTCTTTGTTGACCAACATGACTGACTTACCTGTATAACACCTGTCTCTTTGTTGACCAACATGACTGACTTACCTGTATAACACCTGTCTCGTTGTTGACCAACATGACTGACTTACCTGTATAACACCTGTCTCTTTGTTGACCAACATGACTGACTTACCTGTATAACACCTGTCTCTTTGTTGACCAACGTGACTGACTTACCTGTATAACACCTGTCTCTTTGTTGACCAACATGACAGACTTACCTGTATAACACCTGTCTCATTGTTGGCCAGCAGGGCTGACACCTGTATAACACCTGTCTTGTTGTTGACCAGCATGACTGACTTACCTGTATAACACCTGTCTCGTTGTTGACCAACGTGACTGACTTACCTGTACAACACCTGTCTCGTTGTTGACCAACGTGACTGACTTACCTGTATAACACCTGTCTCATTGTTGGCCAGCAGGGCTGACACCTGTATAACACCTGTCTTGTTGTTGACCAGCATGACTGACTTACCTGTATAACACCTGTCTCGTTGTTGACCAACGTGACTGACTTACCTGTACAACACCTGTCTCATTGTTGACCAACGTGACTGACTTACCTGTACAACACCTGTCTCATTGTTGGCCCACGTGACTGACTTACCTGTATAATACCTGTCTCATTATTGGCCCACATGACTGACTTACCTGTACAACACCTGTCTCTTTGTTGGCCAGCATGACTGACTTACCTGTATAATACCTGTCTCGTTGTAGACCAATGTGACTGACTTACCTGTATAACACCTGTCTTGTTGTTGACCAGCATGACTGACTTACCTGTATAACACCTGTCTCTTTGTTGACCAACGTGACTGACTTACCTGTACAACACCTGTCTCGTTGTTGACCAACGTGACTGACTTACCTGTACAACACCTGTCTCATTGTTGGCTCACGTGACTGACTTACCTGTATAATACCTGTCTCGTTATTGGCCCACGTGACTGACTTACCTGTACAACACCTGTCTCATTGTTGGCCAGCATGACTGACTTACCTGTATAACACCTGTCTCATTGTAGGCCAATGTGACTGACTTACCTGTATAACACCTGTCTCTTTGTTGACCAACATGACTGACTTACCTGTATAACACCTGTCTCTTTGTTGACCAACATGACTGACTTACCTGTATAACACCTGTCTCGTTGTTGACCAACATGACTGACTTACCTGTATAACACCTGTCTCTTTGTTGACCAACATGACTGACTTACCTGTATAACACCTGTCTCTTTGTTGACCAACATGACTGACTTACCTGTATAACACCTGTCTTGTTGTTGACCAACATGACTGACTTACCTGTATAACACCTGTCTCTTTGTTTGCCAACATGACTGACTTACCTGTATAACACCTGTCTCTTTGTTGACAAACATGACTGACTTACCTGTATAACACCTGTCTCTTTGTTTGCCAACATGACTGACTTACCTGTATAATACCTGTCTCTTTGTTGACAAACATGACTGACTTACCTGTATAACACCTGTCTTGTTGTTGACCAACATGACTGACTTACCTGTATAACACCTGTCTCTTTGTTGACCAACATGACTGACTTACCTGTATAACACCTGTCTCTTTGTTGACCAACATGACTGACTTACCTGTATAACACCTGTCTTGTTGTTGACCAACATGACTGACTTACCTGTATAACACCTGTCTCTTTGTTGACCAACATGACTGACTTACCTGTATAACACCTGTCTCGTTGTTGACCAACATGACTGACTTACCTGTATAACACCTGTCTCGTTGTTGACCAACATGACTGACTTACCTGTATTACACCTGTCTCTTTGTTGACCAACATGACTGACTTACCTGTATAACACCTGTCTTGTTGTTGACCAACATGACTGACTTACCTGTATAACACCTGTCTCTTTGTTGACCAACATGACTGACTTACCTGTATAACACCTGTCTCATTGTTGACCAACATGACTGACTTACCTGTATAACACCTGTCTCTTTGTTGACCAACATGACTGACTTACCTGTATAACACCTGTCTCTTTGTTGACCAACATGATTGAATTACCTGTATAACACCTGTCGTGTTGTTGACCAACATGACTGACTTACCTGTATAACACCTGTCTCTTTGTTTGCCAACATGACTGACTTACCTATATAACACCTGTCTCTTTGTTTGCCAACATGACTGACTTACCTGTATAACACCTGTCTCTTTGTTTGCCAACATGACTGACTTACCTGAATAACACCTGTCTCTTTGTTGACCAACATGACTGACTTACCTGTATAACAACTGTCTCATTGTTGGCCAACATAACTGACTTACCTGTATAACACCTGTCTCATTGTGGGCCAGCATGACTGACTTACCTGTATAATACCTGTCTCACTGTTGGCCTACATTACTGACTTACCTGTATAACACCTGTCTCGTTATTGGCCCACATGACTGACTTACCTGTATAACACCTGTCTCATTGTTGGCCAGCATGACTGACTTACCTGTATAACACCTGTCTCATTGTTGACCAACATGACTGACTTACCTGTATAACACCTGTCTCGTTGTTGGCCAGCATGACTGTCACCATGATGGTGTTGGGGCGCACTGCACTCAGAACATCCTCGACCTCAACTCGCCCGCTCAGCTTGGAGGCCGACACAAAGGTACACTCTATAACACAGGAATAAACCCAAAATAAAACTTCAGTGGTAACTTTCATCTGCCAAACCAAATTAAACATGATGAACCATACCCAACTTCAGTGAGTGCCAATATTCTCTTAGTGCTTGTATATTTTGGCTATCATTCAGATCCAAACATCCATTTTCATGTTATTCAGATTAAAAAGAAAAGACTTATAGAAATATCATTCATGATTAGAATCATAATTCTGGAAAAGAAATGATTTGTTTTACTTCCCTGTCGTTTTAACATGGACAATATACAGCTGCGTGCGTGCGTGCGGTGCGGTGCGGTGCGGTGCGGTGCGGTGCGGTGCGGTGCGGTGCAGTGCAGTGCAAACACTTCATCCACTTAGCTGCAGTGCCACCATGATATAATACCGAGTGACAACAAGTACGGGGGCTTCAGAATCGCTCAAAATACCAGTACTCTCACACATTCACATGAGTGTTTCTGAAGCTTTCTCATACATACAGGTAAGAAAAAGATATATTATTCATCTTCCCAAGGCAAGGGCGTTAACTGACCATAAAAGTCTAGACCATAAAAGGCTGGACCACCGGAGTTACAATTCTGCTGGGCTAACGAGTCTATGCACAGTCCAATCAAAATCGCGTAACAAACTAGACATCTGGTTCGTAAACAGCATTGATTTCAATGTGCAGACTTTGGTCGACTGCCGCATTTGCAAAGCATGTGTATCGTCAACGGGGCTGTGACAAATCTTTTCAAGTTTTTATTTAACCAAGGTGCTCAAGTGACTTCATCCACTTTGCGAGGTAAGACATCTTTTATTACAATATAGATCTTGATTAGCGATCAGATCGTCTTGAGTGGGAGCCACCATTTTCTTTGACGCAATGCAAGTGATATGAGAGATGGAATCTGATTGTATAATGAGACTGGAGCTAAATTAAAGGACAGCACCTAACTGCACATATATGAATATATGTCTGTATGATGAGGTGAGTGATTAGAATATATATTTTAAAATTATTGTATATACCTAAGGATGTAAACATATTGTGTAGGTGTCAGCCTATTCACACTCAACAGTATAATTCTAAAAAAACATTATAAATGGCAAGTAATAAATAAAATACTAAACTCGCTCCTGTGTAAAACCAATTTATGAAACTCGTGAAACTCGCTCGTCAGATACCACAACTATTCACTCGTTTCATAAAATTGGTATTACACGGGAACGAGTTTAGTATTCTATATTTAAACCATGGTAATATACAGAAATCTTGACACAACATAACTCCACCGGACACACCTGCTACCTCTGCAGCCACCATGTGTTCCAGCACCAGTTTAATGGAGTCGTGTTCCAGGTTGGATGTGATGAAGTGTGGCAGCCGCTTGTTGGAGTCCCCTGTGTTTCCTTTACAATCTTGACTCCGGTCATCGTGGTAAAACTTCACAGCAGTGTCCAGGATCCAGTTATTACCCTGAATTAATAGAAATCAGTGTTCCCGTTTACCGGTAATTACCAGTTTTTTACCACCTAAATTAGGCGTGGACCGGTAATTCATGTGACTGCCAGTCACCGTGGACCAGCAAATAAAGTACCTTAGAAATCTTGTTCTTGAACAAAACATCCGCGATATTCATATAAGTATATTTTTCAAATAAAGACAGCTTGTCTGTTACCATCAGGGTTTCCCCTAGTCTATTTTTAGTGCATGGAAATAACATTTTGCTTTGCTTCGAGGTTAAATATATAGTTGTAGATTTAGTCTCGAAATATTTAAAAAGAAAGAAAGAAAATTGTGACTGAACTTTGTGTGAATGACACGTAGATTTAACCAAGTTACTTCAGAGATGTCATTGCATTGAACCTGATGTTAAAAGAGTTAAAACCAGGTAATTTTCATGGTAACAATGTTTACAAGGGCATCTTTCTCCAAGCACTGAAAACATAACTTTTCGCAAGAACGGGTATCCTAGGTAATTGCCTAGTGGGTTTCTTTGTTTTTTGGCTTACGAAATCTTAGTAAGTTAGTGTGTGCTTGCCTGCACAGCTTTATTTTATTGCATGTTGAACTTACTGATTATGTTCGTTTTCAAGACATAGAAATGAAATGAGTTTGTTTGATGAATGCTTTGCTCACTCATACAGAGAATTCAGAAGCTGATCCAAAGTGAGAAGTATTGTATCAGAGATGTTAATGAGATTGTGAAGTCAATAAACTTGTTTGAATGCAACTAGTTGTTTCTTTGTTTGTTGTTTAACGCTGCGCTCGTCTATATTCTAGCAATACCTAAATTATTGAGTCTGGACCTGACAATCCTGCGATACGTCAACAACAATCCACGCCATCAGAGGACGATAATACACACTCAACCAAGTCACCAAGCCTGACCACCTGATCCATTTAGTCGCCTCTTATGACAAGCATAGGTTGCTGGGGATCAATTCTAACCCTGAATCCCTATAGCGGTTGAACTCAACCAAGTGCCATTGTGAAGGAAACAGGTTGGTGTTCTCCAAACCGTTTGCCAACTTCTGTTTGGCACAAATATGTGTAGTTGTTGCTTAGTTCCTCTTCAGTCCTTTAATATGCCAACGCCTTTTCGTAGCTAATGTTTCAGTCCTTAAATATGCCGACACTTTTTCGTAGCAAATGTTTCAGTCCTTTAAAATGCCAACGCCTTTTTGTAGCAGATATTTCAGTCCTTTAATAAGCCAACGCCTTTTCGTAGCTGATGTTTCAGTCCTTTAATATGCCAATGCCTTTTCATAGCAGATGTTTCAGTCCGGTAATATGCCAATGCCTTTTCGCAGATGATGTTTCAGTCCTTTAGCATGCCAACGCCTTTTCGTAGCAGATGTATCAGTCATTTATTATGCCAACGCTTTTTCATAGAAGATGTTTCAGTCCTTAATATGCCAACTCCTTTCTGTGGCAGATGTTTCAGTCCTTTAATATGCCAATGCCTTTTCAAAGAAGATGTTTCAGTCCTTAATTTGCCAACGCCTTTTCATAGCAGATGTTAGTTAAAAGTATGTGATATCTATGCAGTTTCTGATTAGATGAAAGCGACAACATATATTTGACAACCATTTACACATCAAATTCGAGTTTGAAAACATTATAATGTAGGCCAAAATATTTCTGAAAATAGTGACCAATTCTATTTTCAGTTTGGAAAAACAATTTGCAAACTGGTTTGGAAACATTAATCAGCAAACTTACCTCTGTCCCCCCTGACGTGAAGATGATGTCTGGAAGACAAAGTAACCCTGATCAGCCACAGTGTTGCCATGGTAATGTTTCAGTAATATCACTGGCTGTGGAAACTAGGGCTAGGACAAGTCCAAATTTACTACCTGGGTACCCACCCCCTTATTACCCGACCCTACCCGGGTACCCGCTGTAGGTCTCAAGAGATAGGTACAAACTGTCCGATTAGGAAAAGTTTCACTGTAGCCCATAAAAAAGTATTTAGATACATGTATAAAACAATCTGGTCATGCATACCCTAAAGTTTACTGCATGAAGTTTTATCTTTTTAACATGTAAAAGTCAGAAGGAATGCGTGCATAGTCAGAAAGAAAAGGGAACATTAGTGACTTGACCAAAGAGTTTTAGATAAGTTTTGTCATTAAACAATATATCAAGTGACTATCCACGGGTCCGGGTAGTCCAGTAGGTACCCGGGTCCTGCTCAGTACCCACCCGCCCCGAGTACCCGAGTTACCCATCCCAACCCTAGTGGAAACCGTTGTAAATGTATCTGGAGGAATTTTTAGTGGCAGCCAATGATTGGAGTGACAGCAAACTTTTGAGTGTGGTTGCCGACAGCGAGGAAATTAGAATTATCCGCCCCTGGTTGTTTACAAACATGACAGGTTTGACTGTTCGAGAAACACTTCCTTTTCTGACATAGTTGCAAAATGTTGAATAACAAAAAAAAGATTACATTTGACTACTTACAAACATGACAGGTTTATCATTCAAGAAACACTCGGAAGACACCACTAGAGCAAGTTCATATCAAATTTAGGCAAAATATGCCCCAGTACCCTACAATGTGGCTGGACTCACAGGACTTGGAAATTTTATGGCCGCTACATATGCATCAGTTTCCGTATTCCATGCAGTTTTCACTGACATTTTGTACTGGGCAAGGGGGGTAACTCTACACAGTCTGGCATTGCAACATGTCTTTCTAAATCTGGCGCTGTCTTGTGAACCATTATCAATCTCATTAAAACCAGATCTTAGTTCTCGCTACCGCTAAACAAAGATCTGAGGACATCCCATTACGGGTCACGTCAGACCAACCTTGCGCGAACTTTGACTGACCAATGGAATGACCAATCAAAAGGCAGCTTTCTCAAGCTTTACGGCACAAATTTCAAATTGGCGACTACGCTTCGAAACATATTTTGACAAATTCTCGATTTTCTCTGATTTTAATGAGATTGGAACCATTATGTACATTCAATGTTCTCTTCGCTTTCTACTTGTCCAAGTCACTACAGCCCCATTGCATCATGTTTCATAAAACATATAGAAATAAATAAAATAAATATTAACAAATTTGGATAGATAATAATCGAGTCTGGACCAAACGATCCAGTGATTGACATCATGTGCATCTATCCATGCAGTTGGGATATGATGACATGCATCAACCAAGTCAGTGAGTCTCACCATCCGATCCTATTAGTCGTCTCTTACGACAAGCATTTTCGCCTTTTATGGCAAACATGGGTTGCTGAAGACCTATTCTACCCCGGATCTTCACGGGGAGACAAGCATGGGTTGCTGAAGACCTATTCTACCCCGGATCTTCACGGGGAGACAAACATGGGTTGCTGAAGATCTATTCTACCCTGGATCTTCACGGGAAGACAAACATGGGTTGCTGAAGACCTATTCTACCCCTTTTCTTCACGGGGAGACAAGCATGGGTTGCTGAAGACCTATTCTACCCCGGATCTTCATGGCTAACTGCCAATGAGACAGATGAACATATGCAGCACACTTTGAAGATGATGAATACGAACCTGAAGGCTTTGCTCCGATCATGGACGCCACATTTCCCCTGGCTTCATGTATTATGGCCTTAGCCCTCTGTCCTGTAACAATAAGAGTGGGAAAACTAGGAGTGAGTGAGTGAGTGAGTGAGTGAGTGAGTGTGTGAGTGAGTGAGTGAGTGTGTGAGTGAGTGAGTGAGTGAGTGAGGTTCAATGCTTTTTAGCACGGGGGTAATCGGCTTCACACATTGTACCCATGTCGGGAATCAAACCCAGGTCTTCGGCATGACGAGCGAACGCTGTAACCACTAGGCTACCATGCTGCCCCGGAAAAACTAGTAAGGTATACTACAGTGTATACAGTCTTCATTATTACAAGAGAATTTTGAAAACTTTTTAATGTGAATGAAATCAGTAGATTCTCAATAACGTCTTTAAGACTTTAACTCAACTCCTCCAAATTAGTGAGTCAGCAATATTCCAGTAATTACATGACAGGTGACACACGGAATTGAAGCCCTTGAGCATGACTGGTGAACTATTCAATCACTTAGGCTGAAAAAAATAAGTCTTGGTTCTCAGGCACTGCCTGCATCATCATAACGTCTGCCGCATGTTAAGTTTCTATTTCCATTTTAAAAAAATAAATTTAAATCCTGACACTTAAAAACAATGTGATCCAGTTAGCATGCAGTTACTTCCCTTTACATGTGCACTGCTTTACTTCACATCTCGTGTTATGGTAATGGCGGCAATAGGAGTTTGTATGCTTGTTTATGTAGGGAGGCCCTTCCCCAGGTTGATGATACAACTGTTTATTTGGTGACATACCAGTTTGAACAAGCAACAACAAAAAAACAACCTCCTGCCCGCACTTTATTTTCAGAGGGCATGGCCTGAGAACCAATTTATTTATTTTTTTAGGCCTTAAATGCCTGTTTGTTTGTTTGTTGAACGCTGCACTCAGCAATATTCCATCCATGAACAGTCAATCCAGTGACTGCCATCAGACAAAATCAATTCACACAATTGGAATATGACGACAACCAATCGACCAAGTCACAGAGCCTGACAACCTGATCCATTTAGTCACCTCCTACTACAGGCATAGGTTACTGGAGATTATCACTAAGGTACCACACTGCTCCCTTCTAAAACACACAGGTCACAAAAGCAGGTGAAATTAGCTTCATGACATGTCGTGTCTTCTCCGGCAACTGACTTTGTTCGAAATGTTCCTCTGTTCACCCAGCAGGATGAGAGAGCAGTGTGGTTGTTCACCTTCTTGCGCCTAACTGGCAGCTTAGGTCATATACTCCCCAGGGAGCTGAGAATGATTGTCAAGTGCACACTGATCCAGCAACCGAGATAATAATAGAGCTTTGAGCATGCCTCTGTGTGGTATGGAAATATGCGCAACATAAATGGCCTATCATCATCATCATCATCATCATCATCATCATCATTATTATTATTATTTTATTTTTTATTATTATTATTTTTATCATTATCATTATTATTATTATTATCCACCTTGTTTGTATGAGCTGGAAGGGTTCCCCCATGCATCACGCAGGGTGTCGTGGATAGCTGTCAACACGTCTGGCTCCAGGGGAGTTGTGGCATTGTAGTCAAGGTACACGCTGTATCATAAACAGTGATAAGAATGTATGCAAGAGATGATATTCAATAATAGTTTTGAAATAAGAATATATCTGCAATAATAAGGTTATTGAAATAATTTCACACAAGGAAGAGCAAGGAGATTAACACAGCAGGGTATGAATAACAAAAGGAACATACAAATTGGAAAACTGAATAAACTTCAATTTTCTGACTTAGCATGTTCAACCACTACTCTGAATTGTCAAGTCAAGTAAATTTCTTTCTGTCTTGTAAACTAGATTTGCTCATAATAGCTCATATATTTTTTTATTATTGCATTGCCTTCATATATTACATTTGTGCATTTAGTATGTTTATGTTTAGTACTATCTTACATATAATCTGATATATAACCAGCTGTTGTAAAGTTATTACCTGGAGAAGTATTTACATAAGCAAGTTTTGCTTGTTTACCAATCCAGATTTCTTTTGAAATAAAAATATGTTTAAACCATATATTTTTTTTAAAATGGTTGTCATTAAATGTGTTTTTGTGTACACTCCTGAAATAGTTAATAGAATAGGGTGATATTTTAACCATCAACCATTATGGACATCTTGATAGCCTCAATGCTTGTATCACAACAGCACCTTAATTGTCATACCTACACCTCCAGATTACTTAATTGAATCCTCTCCTGTTAACCCCATTGGCTTTGCCATTGTATTGTTATCTTTGTACATTCGTCCCACCTTGTGTTGTGTAAACACCAAAAGTGTCATGTATTCATTACAAATTGTCATTGGTGAATTCATATTTTCAAAATAAGTTATATTCGGTAAAATTTACAGAATCTGTTTTAACATCGATAACCTACCTGGCCTTACTTGTCATAATTTACGTCACTCTGTCGTTATCTTCACACATGCACTTCTAAATATATATTCCTTAATAAACACAACAGAACACCCAGTCACGATTTGCCACGACATTTACTCGTCTAATAGCTATTTCGCTTCAAAACCCATTCCATATTTTATATTTTCTGATAACCTTTAAAACCTAACAACATTAAACGAATTCTTTATTTTTGTTTGATTTTGTCGCATTTGAAACTTTGCAAAAACTTCGTTGAAACAAAAACTAATTGTGTAAATGTTTGAGTATTTTGCGCTTGAGACCATTGACCATTGGCCCGGAAGTTAGTACCGACGGTGTGTGCGCATGCCCAAGCAGGTGCTTGTTTTGTTTACTTCGTCAGCTGGCAGAAGGATGACGCCTTAAGAAGAAGTCAGTACTTTCGGTTTGTTTTCAATAAGTGAAAAACAGAGCGTCGATGACAGTTTAGTTCCTGTTTGTTCTCTGTATAATAAGGTAAACTATTAACTGAATTTAGCTTTATTTGAAAATGAAAATCGGTTGGTGTGTTTTGTCGGGACAGTTGCCATCAGCTGGTGATGTTTGTCACTTTGTGTCACTGTCAGTTGGGAGAGTCTGTAAGCGATTTGCTCGCCGTCATTGTCTATTCTGATGAAATTAATTCATAAAGGCAATACAAACTTATAATGATCACACCCTTCTGTGTCTCATAATCATATTTATAACATACATAGGCAAAATATGTACGTGTGTTCAATTAAGAATTGACTTTCACTTTGTGTGAGTTCATTGGAGTATGAACCTTCATAGAATGAGGGCCAAACTGTACGGAGCTTGTGTATTCGATTTGGGGAATTCCCAGGGGTTTCCAGAGGAATGTGGAACTGTAAGAAGTCTGTTAGTGTTTACATCATTTCAAGAACACGGTCTTGTGATAAACGTATGAACATCAAATTGTGTCATTTATACAGTTATGAACGATAATTTTGTGGTCATGTGAACGACCACTCATCCAATAGAAAAGCCGTATATCATCGGAAACGTCAGCCATCTTGGCTAAAACAAGACAAAATACACATACACATTTATACACGTTTCCTCTCGCATCTACGCAATTCCGTTAAAAAGTACCCAATCATGCAATAGTCAGAAGAAATTGTGTGTGAAATTATGATTTTTTATAGCTAAAATGGATAGAATTATCATGAAACCGACCGCATGTTATCAGAAATGAGCGGGCCACTGTAACTTGATAATGCCCTCATATTGCTTAACAACGGGCCATTATCACGCCCGTTGTTAGGTGACGTCATAGGGATAGGGAAAGGTGACGTCATGTTCAATAGTGACGTCCTCTGGTTTGTTCTGTGACGTTTCCATATTTGTAAAAGTGGGTCAGTGACATTCTTGTTGATTGCAGTAAATGTTTCAAAACCGATATTGTTGTTTATTTTTATTTGATAACAAATTCTATCCATTTTAGCTATAATAACGGTAACACTATTTTTCAGGGCATTATCATTTGCAGAAGCCCTCAGTCTTTTCAACTGCCCTCCTTTTTCAGGCAGTAAATGGAAGACCTCGGGCTTCTGCAAATGATAATGCCCTGAAAAATAGCGTTCCCCTAATAATCAGAATAATAATATTGAATGATCAGCTGATAATGTTTTTTGAGATGGGGAAGAAATCGTGTCATTGGAAATCTTAAGTTTATTAAAAATGTAAGGCATTGCCTTGTATTAGCAATGTTTGTTTTACAGACAAGATTAAATCAATTACATGGACAGGTATGATTAACAAGTTTAACAAGTTTATTTACAAATATTACATGCTTACAAAATACACAGCTCTCATAAGTAATAGTATCGATAAATTCTACAAATATTGGTCATCTTGTCATCTTTTGTTTCCCACACAATAATTCTGTTCTCAACTTTTGTTTACTGCCTATGTATTACATTGTAGCCCATGTGTAAAAATGCAACAGAAATAAAGTTTAAAAAAAACAAACAAAAAAACAAAACAAGTTTAACAAGGTTGAATCGTCACCACTGATTGTGTTGATTCACCGCTGATTGCGTACAGCCAATTGTCAGTTATGTTTGACACTGAGTGAGATTTCTCAGTTCGCTATACACGTCACTAACTAGTGGTATTTAGGCTTGTCGGGGATCAGATATCAGTTCACTATATACGTTAGTTCGCTACAGAGGGTTTGTTATGTACGTAAATTTTATATGATGATATACAGAAGATAAATCGGGGATTTTTTAACAGTTTGTTGTATCCGTTTGTTCTCTCTGTTCGTGTTTGTTATATCCGTGTTCTACTGTATACTACTTCGCTCCTAATTGTAATAAAGAAGTTGTTTATTCATATATCTTATCCTTACTTAGTACTCCAAGTAAGGATAAGATATCTGGATGAACAACTTCTTTATTAGAATTAGGAGTGACGTTTCGGTGTAGGTTCTAACACCGTTATCAAGCAAGTGACGATGTTAGAACCTACACCGAAACGTCGCTCCTAATTGTGATAAGGAAGTTGTTTTCCATATATCTTATCCTAAATGGGAATACTAAGTAAGGATAAGATGTATGGATAAACAACTTCTTTATTACAATTAGGAGCGAAGTAGTAAACAGTAGAACACAGATATAACGAACAAGGAAGTTGTTCATCCATAAATTCTTATCCTTACTTAGTACTCAAACTTCTAAATGTCTATCAAAGAAGTTTACTGAAACCTACATTATCAACACACCACAAAACTAAAATAATAGTTATAGTCTTTATTCTCGTAATACAACATCACCAGAAAGTCTATACTCTATACATTATATTATCAAAAGAAGCAGAAGAAAATACACCAACAGGTATTGACGTCAGCAGAAGAAAGATATTTCCTCTCGTGATAATTATTATTTTGTGGTGTGTACTAACTACTGTTATTAGTACTGCCAACTTATCAATGCCTCTGAAAGAACTCTTTAGGAAATGTTTGTTGTTGTTGTTTATGATGTGAATGACATGTGTATTGACTTCTCCTAGGTTTCTTGTGGCAAACAGTCATAATGGGTCAGCAAACATCTCGACAGGAACTTATCAGCCAGGAGCTTGATGATCAACAAACACGAGACTGGTTTACTCTGAATGTTGCTCTGCGAGAAGCTACTAAGGCCTTGGCTATCAGTCTCCATCACAAGATATCAGTGATCCACAAGAATGTCAAAACATCGTGCAGAGGTTTGGGGGAATGTAACGAAAACTGCAGTGCCACAAAAACAAACTCAACTCAGTGGTGTCGACCATGCTCCTTGTGGCAAAATGAGATCCTTTCTTTGTGTGAACCGGCATATCAACACAAAATATCCTGGGAAAGATATCACTCTGCTCAATGGCCTTCTAATCCTTACGAGTTTGCTCGAGTTTTCATCCCTCGTGCTCACAGATTCTACTATAAGTCAAATGAATTTCATGAAGATATTAGGTATACGTTGAGCTTCATTGAAAACTGTGTTGAATTTGAGGTTCCTAGAGAAACAATCCAAAAGGCTTGGGTTGTCAGGAACAGTTTCAAAAGGAAAGGGAAAATGAGGGTGCGAAAGAATTATCTCCATGACGCAATGACTGTTTTGCTGGCGTTGTTGGAGTCACCAAGCATTTCAGATCATGGGGCGATTACACCTGCTGTGAAGAAACTAAGGGCTCTTAATGGAGAGCTTGAAGAGAGCAGTTGTTGTATTTCATAGAACTAGGACAAATTTAGCTTGATGCTCTTGAATCAAAGAAGCTTTACTTTTTTACATATGCCAATAAATAGATAGTTGGTATAATGTATGCCATTGAATAAATAGGTGGTATAACATATGTCATTGAATAAATAGTTGGTATAACGTATGCCATTGAATAAATAGGTGGTATAATGTATGCCATTGAATAAATAGGTGGTATAATGTATGCCATTGAATAAATAGGTGGTATAACATATGCCGATGAATAAATAGTTGGTATAACATATGCCAATGAATAAATAGTTGGTATAACATATGCCGATGAATAAATAGTTGGTATAACATATAAGGATGAATAAATAGTTGGTATTGATAAGTAACCATGGTGACCATGACAAGAAATTCATGAGCCAATGTTTAATCATGATTGATCCTCATTTTTCCAGTCAATCATTTGGCAGCAAATGTTGTTTGTTTTTTGTTGAGGGATTTGATAATTCAAACTGTTGTACAGTAGATATATGGTTAAATACCAGTGTATGCATCATGTACAGGGTACACTGTTGAACAGTTTACTTGAAATATTGTTTGTCATTTGCTTTGTGATGGTAGTTCCGGATCATCTTTGATTTCAGGTGATTTGTTTATAACTTGTGCCGCTGCTTGTCCAGTCTTTATGTTGTTTACAGATTACTGTTCATCTTGAAATTAATGCGTCTCCAAATTAATACGACTGCTGACCCCTAGCAGAAATGCGACCCCAAATCAATGTGACTCCCCCCACCCCATCCCCAGTGGAATGATACAAATCCTTACCTTAATCCAATCAAACAGCAAATAGCACCGCTTATTAGCACTGAGTAAAACACTTCTGTAATATCAATAAACAGTGTTTTCCTAAAATCAACACACAGTTTATATGTTTACTCTGTTGATTGGCATGAAGGAAGTTCAAAGGCAATAAAATAATTGAACCAACAACAGTTCACTGGTTGGAGTGGTCAATGATGCCTAGATTGAAACGAGTGGGGAAACTCTTGACCCCAGCAGTGATAACTCACCGGATGTCTATTGTGTGATTCCTATCCTTTAAATGACATTGTTATGTACTTTGTACAACTGCTGCTCAATAAACCGTGCTTGTGTTTATATTCAAGTTGGTATTTCCGCTATCCAAAGTGTGCAGTGAGGCCGTCTTATTGTTGATAATCATTTTGGAGACATAAATGTGAAGTTCATTAATTTACATTTTTTGCATTTAACATGTTTAATTCATGCTCACATTAATTTGAAGATTTACAGTATCTTGGGTCAACATGCAGGAGGCAACTGCTTAGCATGATTTGAGTTTGATTAGGAACTGTCTGTCATGTCTATTTGCTTTATCGCCATTGGCTAATTCTCCACCAATC